TCAGAGCTCTTGGGTGACTAGGTACATTGTCAATGAGCAGTAATATTTTAAAAGCAATCATGTCTGAGCAGTAGTCTCAACAGTGGGCCTAAAATGGTGTGTAAACCATGCTACAAACAGATATGCTGTCATCCAGGCTTTATTGTTCCATTTATAGAGCACAGACAGAGAAGATTTAGCATAATTCTTAAAGGCCCTAGGATTTTTGGAATGGTAAGTAAGCACTGGCTTCAACTTAAAGTCTCCAGCTGCATTAGCCTCTAAGAAGAGAGTCAGCTTGTTCTTTGAAGCTCTGAAGCCAGGACAACTTCTCCTCTCTAGCTATGAAAGTCTTAGCTGACATCTTCTTCCAATAGAAGGCTGTTTCATCTACTTTGGAAATCTATTGTTTCTCAACATGAGCAAAGCAGAAAAAAGAAAAAGAGGAAAAAAAATTTAAAGAAAATCTTTTGTTTATTATATCTACCTTCATGGAATAACTATAACTCTAAATCAAAGAGGAAATTATAAACAAATTATAAAGTATTTTGGGCCAAGGGAGGTGGCTCACACCTGTAATCCTAGCACTTTGGGAGGCTGAGGAGGGAGGATGCTTGAGGCCAGGAGTTCAAGACCAGTCTGGGCAACATGTGGAGATCCTCTATTTTTTTTTTAAAGAAAATATTTTGAACTAAATTATGTAAAAAATGTTGCTATAGCATGCAGTTAAAATTGTTTTTAAAGAATTTAAATTTTTTTAAAGAAAATATTCTGAACTAAATTATGTAAAAAATGTTGCTATAGTATGCAGTTAAAATTGTGTTGAGAGAAGTTTCTAGATTTAACTGGGTATATCAGAAGAAAGTCGGAAAATTACATATTTAAGTACCTATGTGAGAAGACACAGGAAATTAAAATAAAATAAACTCAAATTAACTTGAAGGAAGGCAATAAAGAGCAGAAATGAATGAAACAGAAAATAAATAGTAGAAAAAAATCAACAAAGCCAGAGCTAAGTTCTTGGCAAAAACAAGTAAGATTGACAAAACCCTAAGGAATTTGATCAAGAAAAATAAAACTAGCCAATGTTAGGAATTAAAAAGTGGGGCCAGGTGCCGTGGCTCATGCCTGTAATCTCAGCACTTTGGGAGGCCGAGGCGGGCTGATCACCTGAGGTTGGGAGTCCGAGACCAGGCTGACCAATATGGAGAAATCCTGTCTCAACTAAAAATATAAAATTAGCTGGGTATGGTGGCGCATGCCTGTAATACCAGCTACTCAGGAGGCTGAGGCAAGAGAATCGCTTGACCCAGGGAGATGGAGGTTGCAGTGAGCCGAGATCGTGCCATTGCATTCTAGCCTGGGCAACAAGAGCAAAATTCCATCTCAAAAAAAAAAAAAAAGACATTAAAAATTGGGCATTACAACTAATCCTGCAAATACTAATGTGGCAATAAAAGGATTTTATGAATACTTTATGTCAATACATTTGAAAATTTTGATGAAATAAATTTTTAGAAAAATACAACTTACCAAAAACTAACATAAGAAACAAAAAATTTCAATAGTTATGATATGCTTAGAAATTGAATTTGTAATTAGACTATTAAAGAAATGAAATTTGTAACTCAAAGTCTTCTCACAAAGAAAACTGAAGAATCAGATGGCTTGAATAACAAATTTACTAATCATTTAGGGCAGAAATAATTCTAATTTTATACAAATTATTCCAGAGAATAAATAAACAGGGACCACTCTTTAACTCATTTATAAATCCAGAGCCAGGCATGCGTTTGCTCACACCTGTAATCCCAGCTCTTTGGGAGGCTGAGGTGGGCAGATCGCTTAAGCCTAGGAGGCGGAGGTTGCAGTGGGCCAAGAAGGCGCCACTGCACTCCAGCCTGGGCATGAGAGTAAGACACTGTCTTTTTTTTTTTTTTTTTTTTTTTTTTTGAGACGGAGACTCACTCTGTAGCCCAAGCTGTAGTGCAGTGGGGGCGATCTCGGCTCACTGCAACCTTCGTCTCTAGGACTCAAGCGATTCTCCTGCTTCAGCCTCCCAAGCAGCTGGGACTAGAGGCGCCCCCACCACACCCAGTTAATTTTTTTGTATTTTTAGTAGAGACGGGGTTTCACCATGTTGCCCTGGGTGGTCTCAAACTCCTGACCTCAGGCTGTCCACCTACTTTGGCCTCCCAAAGTGCTGGGATTACAGGCGTGAGCCACTGTGCCCGCATTTTTTTTTTAATGGGACAGAGTCTCACTGTCACTCAGGCTGGAGTGTACTGGAACGATCTCGGCTCACTGCAACCTCCACCTCCTGGGTTCAAGCAATTCTCCTACCTCAGCCTCGCAAATAGTTGAAGAGTCTGTCTTAAAAAGAAAAAAAAGGCCGGGTGCACTGGCTCACGCCTGTAATCCCAGCACTTTGGGAGGCTGAGGCAGGCAGATCATGAGGTCAGGAGATCGAGACCATCCTGGCTAACACGGTGAAACCCTGTCTCTACTAAAAACACAAAAAGCCAGGCGTGGTGGCGGGCTCCTGTAGTCCCAGCTACTCAGGAGGCTGAGGCAGGAGAAAGGTGTGAACCCGGGAGGCACAGCTTGCAGTGAGTGGAGATCACACTCCAGTCTGGGCAACACAGCAAGACTCCATCTCAAAAAAAAAAAAATAAAGAAAAAAATCCAGAAATAAAGAAAAAGTACAGATCAAAAACATAAAGAAAGGGAGGAAATGAAGATAATTAATAAATAAGAATATGAATGAATAAGAATAGTGGTTACCTTCAGGTAGGAAAGGAGGTTGTAATGGGAAAGGGCAGTCAGGTAGGCTTCTGTGGGTTGATAATGTTCTGTTTCTTGACCTCAGTAGTTTTCAAGCATTTACTTTGTAATAAATCATTAAGATACACATTTCTGTCTCATACACTTTGCTGCATGTGTAGTAGAACTCATAATAAAAAGTTTACAAGGCCGGGCGCAGTGGCTCACGCCTGTAATCCCAGCACTTTGGGAGGCTGAGGCAGGCAGATCACAAGGTCAGGAGATCAAGACCATACTAGCTAACATGGTGAAACCCCATCTCTACTAAAAATGCAAAAAATTAGCCGGGCCTGGCAGCACACACCGGTAGTCCCAGCTACTTGAGAGGCTGAGGCAGAAGACTCGCTTGAACCCTGGAGTCAGAGGTTGCAGTGAGCCGAGATTCTGCCACTGCACTCCAGCCTGGGAGAGAGCGAAACTCTGTCTAAAAAAAAAAAAAAAAAAAAAGTTTACAGTACTCGCTCCTTATCCTCAGGACATATGTTTTAAGACTCCCAGTGGATACCTGAAACCACAAATAGTACCAAACCCTACGTACACCATGTTTTTTCCTCTAAATATATGCCCATGATAGAATTTAATTTATAATTTAGGCACGGTAAGACACTAATAACTAATAATAAAACAGAACAGTTGTAACAATATGTTGATCTTGCATTTGGGGTCACTATTAACTAAAATAAAGGTTACCTGAGCACAAGCACTGTGACAGTTGATCTGATAAATGAGTTGGCTACTAAGTGACTAAGAGGTGGGTAGCATAGACAGTGTTGGATATGCTGGACAAGCGGATGAGTCATGTACTAGGCTGGATGGAGGGGGATGGTGTAAGATTTCATCAAGCTACTCAGAACGGCATGCAACTTAAAACTTAGGAATTGTTTATTTCCAGAATTTTCCATGTAATATTTTCAGACAGAGGCTGACTGTGGGTAACTGTCACAAAACATGGAATACAAAACTATGGATATGGGTGAACCGCTGTCTTTAAATTTATGGAACCAGTGTCACTTAATGAGAGAATGGTATAAATATTTGTTGACTCTGTTTCTTGGACTTAAGTACTTTTCTTCAGCATATCTTTACTTACTCTAACAGGCTTACAACATCCTTTTCGTGGAAATTATCTTTTAGTGATTAATCTCTTTACTGTAACTCTTTAGCTTCCAAGCTCTATTAACACCCTTTCACTGGAATCAATAGCTATAATTACTTTCTGTAGTAAGGGCATCTATTCTTGAATTGTCTATATTTCCTAACATGGGGCATTGTTTGTGGAACCCCAATTTTTTTTTTTTTTTTTTTTTTGAGATAGGATTTCACTCTGTCACCCAAGGCTTCAGTGCAGTGGTGTGATCACAGCTCACTGCAGTCTCGACCTCCTGGACTCAAGCAATCTTCTCTCCTTGGTCTCCCACGTAGCTGAGACAACAGGAGCATCACCACGCCCAGATAATTTTTGTATTTTTCGCAGAGATAAGGTCTCACCACATTGCCCACCCACTAGTCCCAAACTCCTGGGCTCAAGTAATCCTCCCACCTCGGCCTCCCAAAGTGTTGAGATATAGGCATGAGCCACTGTGTCCAGCCTAAAACCCAAAATTTAATTTTATGCTATAACACACAAAGATTAAGCAATAATTTGTATAACTGCAAGGTGTACAATATAAAGACAATCAAAGCAAGTATATAGATTCATCGGGGACTAAATAAGCATCAGCCAGTTTTTCTGGGAATTTCCACATCTGCTTCCTATCATTGATTATTTTAATCTATTTGTCTTCAGACCCTAGTCTGAAGGGTCTACCCAACCCTAGTTCAAAACCCAGGCATCTGTCTAGAAAAAGCTTTCACAGTAACAGGAAATTTCATTTAGTGATATGAAACATGAATAATTTTTTATTAAGACCAAGCCATTATTTATTCTCTACAACTATACTAAAAGAACAGCTAAGTGAACACAGTTCAAATTATATGTTGACAGTAATTACAAAGCATATAGCTAACTATTGCTCCTATCTACCTTTCTAAATGCCTAAATGTTTCAACATCCCCTGTAAAGTGAATAATAAGCATCAAAATAGAGCAGACTAAAACAATTCTGCACCAAATTATGGTGACCCAGACTTTGGTCTACAAACTGTCATCAATTTGATAAACTTAAATAAAAGTAGTATTTTTATCATAAAATTTCTCACTTTTGGAACATGAGGATTAAATTCCACAGCTCTATGAATTGCTTCCACGGCATTAATTTCTGCTGTGCTTAATCCTCTTCTGGAGGCTGTTTCTGGAGAGAATCTACAAGAAAACCACAAAATGAAAAAATAAATATGCTAAAAAAAAGAAAAAAGTATGAATTTAGATAATAATACAGCCCCTTAAATCAAAGTTTCTGGAGATGGCCAAAAACAAAGCCAGAGGACTACTAGAAACTAAATAAATAAAAAATAAATAAAGCTGGCCGGATGCAGTGGCTTATGCTTGTAATCCCAGCACTTTGGGAGGCTGAGATGAGCGGATCACCTGAGGTCAGGAGTTTGAGAGCAGCCTGACCAACATGGAGAAACCCCATCTCTACTAAAAACACAAAATTAGCTGGGCATGGTGGTGTGCACCTGTAGTCCCAGCTACTCGGGAGGCTGAGGCAGGAGAATCACTTGAACCCAGGAGGCAGAGGTTGCAGTGAGTCGAGATTGTGCCATTGCACTCCAGCCTGGGCAACAAAAGTGAAACTCTGTCTCAAAAAAAAAAAAGTAAAGTCTTGTGGGTTCAACATATAAAATAAGAAATGAAGGTCTTCAAACTTAGGTAAAGAAGGTCGTTAGGAGAAGTCTACTGAAGGTACACTTTAGGAAAGGTAATAAAGTAATAAATGCTACACAGTGATATCCAGAGAATCTCATGAATCTAAGTACATTCTTACCAAATTCTTATTTCAGAGGACACAAATGGAAAATTCCATTCTAATTCATATCAAAGCATAAAAATCTAAGGTGAAAGAAAATGGTCACCATTTGGTTGGTTTCTGAGTATCTTATCTGCACAATAAAGAAAATTCACTAAGAGTAGCCAAAAACACAAGAAAAGCAGAACTCAGAATTATACTCTAAGAAGAGATAACATAAGCCTATTTCCCTACTACACACTTTATCGTCATCATCATAGTTACTATTTACTGTGTGGACTTTCTTTCTAGATATCGCTTTAGGCACTTGCCACACAAAATCCTCCTACAACCCTCCTGCAGTCTCATTTTACAGATGAAGGAGAGACTCAAAACAATTAACCTGCCTACAGTCCTATAGCTAGAATGTGGTAGAGTTTGAATTTGAGCTCAGGTTAGCTCTAAAAACTTTGCTGTTTCCACTATACACAGCAAGAAGCCTAAAAGCCCAAGAAGATCCAGGGCTATTCAGAAGGAAGTACAGTGGAAAACAGCATTGTTTAAAGTCAGTAGAAGACAAACATAACATTGAGTTTAGCAGTCTTTCCAAATCATTGTAGTTTTTATAACACTTACTTTTCTGAAACAGTCCTTGTCTTCAACAGTGCTGCTGTGTAACAGATTGCTGCTGACTTTGGAAGGCTTATATCTGTAATGATAATTTTCAATTTAGGTAGGAATTACAAAAAAAAGGAATGAGACCATTTTTTAATAAGAATAATTCACGGCCGGGTGCAGTGGCTCACACCTGTAATCCCAGCACTTTGGGAGGCTGAGGTGGGTGGATCATGAGGTCAGGAGTTCGAGACCAGCCTGACCAACATGAAGAAACCCCATCTCTACTAAAAATACAAAAATTAGCCCGGTGTGGTGGCACATGCCTGTAATCCCAGCTACTCAGGAGGCTGAGGCAGGAGAATCGCTTGAACCTAGGAGGCAGAGGTTGCAATGAGCCAAGATCGTACCACTGCACTCCAGCCTGGGCAACAAGAGTGAAACTCTGTCTCAAAAATAAATAAATAAAAGAATAATTCACAGTGCAATACAAAGTCAATAGTTATATAGGAAAAACCTGGACATAATGTTGAACAATCTATAATATAGTAGGAAAAACCCATATATGAAGTTGAAAAAGCTGAATCTGAATCTTTATCTAATTATTTACCAGCTAAGCATCTTTGAGCTAGTAGCAACTTGTTTGACCTGTTTTCACCTCTCAAAATAATGATATTTTCTGACTGAGATGAAATTATGTCTATGAAAGCCCTCTCTGCACGACAGCAAAATGCGCTCAACAAATGTTTATAATAACCTGCTTATGGATGGGCACGGTGGTTCATGCCTGTAATCCCAGCACTTTGGGAGGATGAGGTGGGTGGATCACGAGGTTAGGAGTTTGAAACCAATCTAGCCAACACAGTGAAACCCTATCTCTACTAAAAATACAAAAAATTAGCCAGGCATGGTGGCAGGTGCCTATAATCCCAGCTACTCAGGAGGCTGAGGCAGGAGAATCACTTGAACCTGTAAAGTGGAGGTTGCAGTGAGCCGAGATCGTGCCATTGCACTCCAGCCTGGGTGACAGTATGAGACTCTAAAAAAAAAATAATAATAATAATAAATAACCTGCTTATAATAAGTTCAGGGAAAAAGGCATGGTATAATTAGAACTATGTAAAACCTTCACCTATTCATAGAGAAAAACTAATATTAGAAAAAAAATTAAAATATTAACAGTAGTTAAATCCAGGTTGATTCAACCAAGGATGATATTTTTGTTCTTCCTAGATTTTTGTATTTTCTTAAATTATTATTTTTTAGAAAATAAAAATTTCACCTGGAACTGTAGGTAAATTAATTATACAAATCATTCTTAAAAGAATGTCCAAAATAAGGCTATCAGAAGATGTTTTTGATTCCAGAATCATACTAGTAAACAGAGAACTAAGGAAATAAATTTGCTTTCAACTTCCTCCGGATTCTGGAATGATAAAAACTGAGACTCATGAAAATAACTGAAAATATAGAAGCATATCAACTTAGATATGCTTTATTAGTTTCAGTTTTATTTTATTTTTAATGAATCAGGTCCTATTCCAATTTCTTATATTCAGTCCCTAAGCTTGCTCATCGTAAGTATTATAAGCAGGCGATGTATCCAGTAAGTTACATATGGAAAGAATTTCTCACAAATTTCTCCATCAGCCTACACTATTCTGAAGCACTGCTTAAAGATTCCAGATGTTTAAAAGAAATAAACTTCTCTTTCCAAGTATAACACATTTCAAACTTCCCAAGTCATGGGGATTCCCAAGCGAATGGGTAGTAACCTATAACGGGACAAATGTGAATAAATGACTTTTTTTTTTTTTTTTTTTGGGGGGATAGGGTCTCACTCTGTAACCAGGCTGGAATACAGTGGCGCAGTCTTGGCTCACTGAAACCTCCACCTCCCAGGCTCAAGCGATCCTCACACCTCAGCCTCCCAAGCAGCTGGGACTACAGGTGCATGCCACCATGCCCAGTTACATTTTAAAAATATTTTTTGTAGAAATGGGTTCTCACCATGTTGCTCAAGCTGGTCTTGAACTTCTGAGCTCAAGCGATCCACGTGCCTCAGCCTCCCAAAGTGATGGAATTACAGGCGTGAGCCACTGTGCCCAGTCTTCAATGTGACTTACATGTGTTCTCTTATAGTGAAAGATATGACCAGAAGTATAGTAACCCCAAATTTTCAGCTTGAGGTTAAAAGCTGATGCCTCTCTCAGGATGAGAAGAGAGGCGTTATGTCTTTAAAATTCTCCAAACTTCATGTGTGGTAAACTGATATTGTTATAACATAATAATAAAAAATAGTCGCCAGGCACGGTGGCTCATGCCTGTAATCCCAGCACTTTGGGAGGCCAAGGCGGGCAGATCACGAAGTCAGGAGATTGAGAACATCCTGACCAACACGGTGAAACCCTGTCTGTACTAAAAAAAATACAAAAAAATTAGCCAGGCATGGTGGCAGGCACCTGTAGACCCAGCTACTTGGGAGGTTGAGGCAGGAGAATGGCGTGAACCTGGGAAGTGGAGCTTGCAGTGAGCCAAGATTACACCACTGCACTTCTGCCTGGGCGACAGAGCAAGACTCCATCTCAAAAATAAAAAAATAAAAATAAAAATAACCAACAGATATTGAATTGTTACCATGGGAAGACTAGTGAACAAAGAAATCAAACACCTGGATCTGCCTTTTACTGGCTGGGAGACCTTACCCCAATACTTTAACCTTCTTAAACTCCAGTTTCCTTATTCAGTAATTGGAGACAGTAAAAATACTTGTCCCACCACATCATAAGACTACTATAAGGATCATATTATCATTGAACTTTGCAACTGAAAAGCATTGTAAAAATGTTATTCTGAATTGCTCTTATAGTATATACTGCTAAGCAACTTCTGTTAGCCTTGCTTGACACTCCAAAACAAATGAGGTACCCCCACTATGTGCACAGCACCCATACTTCTCCAATTATCTCACCAAACACGCTGTCTCCAATGTAACTGCTGTTCATTTGTCTGTATGTTCCACTAAACTGTAAATCCTATGAGGGCTCCCCTTCCTTTTTTTTTTTTTTTTTTTTTTTTGAGACAGGGTCTTCCTCTGTCACCTAGGCTGGACTACAGTGGTGCAATCACAGCTCACTACAGACTTAACCTCCCTGGTTCAAGTGATCCTCCCACCTTAGCCTCCCAAGTAGCTGGGATTACAGGTACACACCACCATGACCAATATATATATTTTTTTTAGATTTTTTGTAGAGACAGGGTCTTGCCATGTTACCCATGATGGTCTCCAACTCCTGGGCTCAAGCGATCCTCCCACCTCAGCCTCCAAAACAAAATGCTGGGATTATAGGTGTGAGCCACCATGCCTGGCCTCCCATGTTGTCTTGTTCACTATCATATTCTGAATGACTCACTCATATTAGAAACAAGCACTCAATAAACAAACAAATAAATCTTGACAGAAGAAAAGTTCTTCCTTGCAGGATTTTGCTAATAAAAGTCCTGATAAAGAAGATACTTAATAGCAACCTTTGGGTGCTAAATACTGACTGGTAAGAACAGAAAGAGAAAATTAAATACTAGACTATAACCATATTTATAATTACATAATTGGAAAAGAATAACCATGCTATCAACTAAGGGAATATGACTCACCATCATATTTTGCTAGGACTGCCTGAACATCTGCATAGGCCTGTAATTCTAAAAGTGATTCTAAGAGATTTTCATGGATGTTCAACATGGTAAGAGGAGGAAATTCTTTCATCAACTGTATATTAAAAGGAAAAAAAAGATTAAAATCATAACAAAGGAACTCAATACAGCTGAGTCAGATTCATTAAAGTAGAAATTCTTGTTTCTTAACATAGCTGTGAAGAAGACCTAACCCTTAAGAAAGGCATATATTAAATAAATACCTTGTTCTTAAAACTACCAATTAAAATACAATGATTCTGCATTAAAATTATGGGCAACTTAACTACATTTTTAGTTTGTGGAGGAATAAATGTAATAGTCCCATCATCAATTTACTTACATCTCTCATTATTTTTACTGCTTCTCTTATTCTTCCTAACTTTCTTGCACACATTGCCAATCTTCTTTTAATATATACCAGTACATTGGTATCTCTCCCTATTTAGAAAAACAAAAAATGATACAACTCTCACTTTTGTATTGTAGGTTGCTATTTCATTAACAAGTCCATTAATTTTATTTACTTCCCTTGGAAGATTCAATTAAAATTAAATTATGTCAAAATGGAAGAATACTAATGATGGCTACATTTGGGTGATAAATATTGAACAGCAGTGTTCTCTATTTTTGTGGATCTTTTAAGTTTTCTGTATTAAAACTTAAAATACATATTTAATTATTTTTGCCTCTAATAGTGACCTAAGTACAGTATATATAATTCGTGTATGATTGACAAGTTTATTTTAACATTAACAAAAAAGAAATACATTAATAGGAAGATATAACATTAACTTAGTATTTAAACTTGTGCATAAATGATCTATTATTCTGATACTCTCTATTGTTTTAATTGAAAAACAAAAAATGTCCAAAACAAAATTTCCATGGCTAATGTAAACTTTTCTTAACAGTGAGTAATTGACAAACTATAAAACTACTTCTAGAAAGAGCTAACAAATATTTCTGTAACTATCTCATAACCGTATTTGAGATTATTCAAAGACAAATGGCATGACATTTTTAAAGATGTAGTTTCATTAGTTCCAGGCTACAAAATTATATATTTCCACAAATGTGTGTTATAAAAACGTGCATTAATGAAGCATACCATATATATCAGTATTTAGCTTAGGGAGAAAAACATTATCCAAATTTTAATTTACACACAAAAAAAGATTTAGAACTTAGCTGCCAGTAAATAATGCATTATATAAACATATTTCAATTTATTACCCACTATTTGCCAAAATCATGAAACTAAAACCCTCTGGCCATAAAAATAGCAGGAAGCAGCATCATCGCTGATCCTAACATCTTTGGTAAAATAAAATCTCAATCACAACTGGTAGAGCATATCTAAGAACAGAAAGGACCTTAGTTGCTATGGTTCATCTGATCTCAAGCACATCATGGAGAAAAATCAAAGAAAGAATCAATGCCAAGCATGAGGTTGGATTTTGGGCTAAGAATCAGATGGTGTGAAAGGGGCCACTCCCTAGCACTATATGCAGATACACAGTCTGAAGAGCAAACCAAATAATGTACCTTTATTGTTGCTTAGAGTAAGGGTGAGGATAAAGATAACAGCTGTTTATCATCACTAGAAGGCTCTCCTGAATGCTGAAAGTTATGTTTTTGCAATGACCAGCCTAATTCTCACATGAAATAAATTACTGTTAAGTCTCAGAGCAGCACATCTTCTCTCAATAACCTGAACAGATCTATTCCCTTCCACAAGCGTTCTCTGGCTAATACACATTTCTGTCTTGCTGGCTTGTAGGTATTATGAATAGATTAGTTATTTCCAGTGAAAATTAACTAACCTGTATGTATTAAGTTTTGTATTATTATTGTTTCGTGTTAAGACACAAGCAAATTACAGGTGCTAAAAGACAGTAATAACCAGTTCAAACTTGCTTACTCAGTTGAGCTTCATGCTGAGGACTTTGGTGCTGGCACTGCTGTGACTGCCTATAAATTGTTTCTCCTGCCTTGAGTGCCTGTTTAAATAACTTTTCAGCATCTACAATAGTTGTTGCTTCTTCCTCAGCCAGTAGAACGTATGCAGTGGCACAGCTATGAAGAAAGCAAGAAGGCAATTTTAAATAAAATGATAAAGCAAGCATTTTCTCTTGGTTATGTCTCTTTGTTGTATGTCATATTTACTTACATACACTTTTTCCATCTTTAGAAGAAAAAACAAACAAAAAAAAACTTCATTCAATATTTTACCTTAATAGGGGCACATTGGTATATTCTTTATATCTGATTCCACAATTTTTCCACTTTTTTATCTTTTCCTTCTGCTCTGTATTTTCTGGTTTTTTTTTTTTTTTTTTTTTTTGGGTAAAAAACAAAGTTTTTAAACTTCTATCTCATTCTCTGACCCATTGTCCTGTGTTTTCTTTTTGTGAAAGGGGGGAGAAAAGAAGATTTATAATTATCTGAATGATATACCTTCTACTGGTCATACCTGCCTTTTTTTTTTTTTTTTGAGATGGAATTTTGCTTTTGTCACCCAGGCTGGAGTGCAGTGGCCCAATCTCCGCTCACTGAAACCTCTGCCTCCTGGATTCAAGCAATTCTCCTGTCTCAGCCTCCCGAGTAGCTGGGATTATAGGCATGCGACACCACGTTCAGCTAATTTTTGTATTTTTAGTAGAGATGGGGTTTCAACATGTTGGCCAGGCTGGTCTAGAACTCCTGACCTCAGGCGATCCACCTGCCTCAGCTTTTCAAAGTGCTGGGATTACAGGCATGAGCCACCGCACCCAGTTAGTCATACCTGCTTTTAGTTGCTATATACTTTTATGATATCCATTTCATGGGGCACGTACGGGGAGGGTGAGGATTGGGAAGATAGTCCCTTGACCAACTAGGCACCTTTAACATCTGACTCAGAAACATATTCCGGGACTAGACATTTTCCCCAAATCTGAGTTCTCCCCTCTGCATGCTGTCCTGTCTACCCATGGACTTATCCACAATACTATGCGGTATAACTTCCCTTATTCTGAATTCAGGTACTTCCTCCTACACTCCTATCCTCATTCCTCACAACTATGCTTATGCCAAGTTTTCTTTTCCTCACCCCACTAAAACACAGAGGCTTTTCTTTGTATCTTTTAAGTCAACACCTGGCTAATAAACTAATTCTTGTTTTGGGGCCACAAAGAGAAACAAAATGTTGTTATTCCATTCCCAGAAATAACAAATCCTTCTCTTCTAGAGACAATGTCCTAGTTGTGATTATCTAAGCCTGCACTGTCCAGTATTCTAGGCATTAGCCGCATGTGGCTATTGAGCACTTGAAATGTGACGAGTTCGAATTGAGATGTGATGCAAGTGTAAAAATGCACAACAAATTTTGAAGACTTAGAAGAATGTAAAGTTCCTCATTAATAGATTTTAGAAAAGTACTGACTATATGTTAAAATATTTTAATATTTTGGGCTGGACGTGGTGGCTCACGCCTGTAATCCCAGCACTTTGGGAGGCCAAGGTGGGCGGATCACGAGGTCAGGAGATTGAGACTACCGTGAAACCCTGTCTCTACTAAAAAAAATAAAAAGAATTAGCCGGGCGCGGCGGTGGGCACCTGTAGTGCCAGCTACTCGGGAGGCTGAGGCATGAAAATGGCGTGAACCTGGGAGGCGGAGCTTGCAGCAAGCTGATATCGCGCCACTGCACTCCAGCCTGGGCAACAGAGTGAGATTCCATCTCAAAAAAAAAAATTAATATTTTGAATATAGCTAAATAAAACATTATTCAGATTAATTTCACCTATTTCTTCTTTTTAAATGTGGCTACTAGAAAATTTAAAGTTACATATGTGGCTTGCGTTATATTTCTAATAACTTGTGCTTATCTAAGCAAGAGGAGAGAAATTATTGATAAACATACAAGACCAAGCATTAAACAAAAGTGATGGCAGGTAGTTATCATTAAGTGGGGACAAAAAACGTCCTTCAGATATAGAAAATGCAAATCATACCATTTCATCATCCTTCAAATAAGAAGACCCTATAGTACATAACAATTTCACTAATCAACAAAGATTTCTCCATTACATTACACTAGATCCCTATGACGTGTTAGATATACTGCTGCTTTAAACACTGGCCTTCCTGCCCAGGCACACTGGCTCATGGCTATAATCCCAGCACTTTGGGAGGTCAAGGCAGGAGGATCACTTGAAGCCAGTAGTTTGAGACTAGCCTGGGCAACACAATGAGACCCTTTCTCTATTAAAAAAATAATAATAATAAAAATTTAAAAATTGGCTAGGTGTGGCTGTGTGCACCTGTAGTCCTAGCTACTTTGGAGGCTGAGGCAAGAGGATTGCTTAAGGCCAGGAGTTTGAGGTTACAATGAAGCTATCATCTTACCACTGCACTCCAGTCTGGGCAACAGAGCAAGACCCTGTCTCTAAACAAAAACAAAAACCAAAAACACTAGGCTTCCTGACTGTCATTCCAAAAACCAATTGAAATGTTTTAAAATAACCGTAATAGCCAGGCGCAGTGGCTCACGCTTGTAATCCCGGCACTTTGGGAGGCCGAGGCAGGCGGATCACGAGGTCAGGAGATCAAGACTATCCGGGCTAACACGATGAAACCCCGTCTCTACTAAAAATACAAAAAATTAGCCAGGTGAGGTGGCGGGCGCCTGTAGTCCCAGCTACTCTGGAGGCTGAGGCGGGAGAATGGCAGGAACCCGGGAGGCAGAGATTGCAGTGAGCCGAGATCGCGCCACTGCACTCCAGCCTGAGTGACAGAGCGAGACTCCATCTCAAAAAATAAAATAAAATAAAATAAAATAAAGTAAAATAATAATAAAAACACTTTTTAAAAGACCTAGATGGGTATAAATCAAAATATAAACATAATTATATGCTTATATTTTGAATGTATGTACATATATATATATATTTTTGCAACAGAGTCTTGCTCTGTCACCCAGGCTAGAGTGCGGTGGCGTGATCTCGGCTCACTGCAAACTCCGCCTCCCGGGGTTTACGCCATTCTCCCACCTCAGCCTCCCGAGTAGCAAGGACTACAGGGCCCACCACCATGCCTGGCTAATTTTTTGTATTTTTAGTAGAGACGGGGTTTCACCGTGTAAGCCAGGATGGTCTTGATTTCCTGACCTCGTGATCCGCCCGCCTTAGCCTCCCAAAGGGCCGGGATTACAAGCGTGAGCCACCGCACCTGGCCAAATGTATGTATATATTTTTAATGACTGTATGGCTGTAGGTGAAAAGATTTTTTCCCCCTTAAAGCATTCTTGGATTTGTTCAAAAGTATTTTATATGGATACTAATTCAGGAAATTAATTATGTGAATACCTAATTAATCTTACATTGATTTTTTACATTGAGGTAAAATTCAAATCACAAGGTTCACAGTTTAAAGCATTTTGAAGTATACAATCCAATAATTTTTAATGTATTCACAAAGTTGCACAACACTATGAAGTGTTAGATATACTGCTGCTTTAAACACTGGCCTTCCTGCCCAGGCACAGTGGCTCATGGCTATAATCCCAGCACTTTGGGAGGTCAAGGCAGGAGGATCACTTGATCGCCACAATGTAATTCTAGAACATTTTCATCATCCCCACAAGAAACCCCGTACCTATTAAGTAGCCACTCCCCATCTCCCTTGCCTCCTCAATCCCTGGCAATCCCAAATCTATTTCTGCCTCTTCACAATGTCCTCTGATACACAAAATATTTTAATTTTGATTAAGTCCATTTGCCTGATTTTTCTTTTGCTGCTTGTGCTTTTGGTGATATAATTTATGAGACCCCTGCTAAATTCAAGGTGGTGATGATTTGTCCCTATGCTTTCTTCTAAGAGTTCTGTAGTTTTAACTCTTCCATTTCCAGTCATTGATTGATTTTTAAATTAATTGGGATATATGGTATGAGGTAAGGGACCACCTTTATGCTTTTATATATGTGGTTATCCAGTTGTTCCAACATCATTGTTGAAAAGACTATTCTTTCCTCCATTGAATGGTTTTGACACCCTTGTCAAAAATCATGACCAGGTGTGGTGGCTCACACCTGTAATCTCAGCACTTTGGGAGGCTGAGACAGGTGGATCACCTGCGGTCAGGAGTTCAAGACCAGCCTGGCCAACATGGTGAAACCTTTTCTCTACTAAAAATACAAAATTAGCCAGGTATGGTGGTGCATGCCTGTATTCCCAGCTATTTGGGAGGCTAAGGCAGGAGAATCACTTGAACCCAGGAGGTGGAGGTTGCAGTGAGCCGAGATCGTGCCATTGAACTCCAGCCTGGGCAAAAAGAATGAAACTCTGTCTCAAAACAAAACAAAACAAAACAAAACAATACAATCAACTGACCATAGATATATGGGTTTATTTCTGGAATCTCAATTTGAATACATTGATCTAGGTGTCTATCCTTATGATTTAACTACTGTAGCTTTGCAGTAAATTTTTAAATTGGGTAGTGTGAGTCTTCTAATTTTGTGCTTCTATTTCAAGATTGTTTTGGTATTCAGGGTCTCTTGCAGTTCTATATGAATTATAGGATCGCCTGGTCCATTTCTGCAGAAATGACAATTAAAATTTTTACAGGGATTGCACTGAATCCATAGATCAATTTAGGGAGTACTGACATTCTAACAATAATGTCTCCCAATCCATGAACATGGGATGTCTTTTGATTTATTTATTTAACTTATGCTTTATAGTTTTCAGCATCCAAGTCTTGCATCTCCTTGATTAAATTTATTTCTAAGTATTTAAATCTTTCTGATGCTTTTGTAAATGGAATTGTTTTCTTAATTTCCTTTTCAGATTGTTCATTGCTAGGATATAGACATACAACTGATTTTCATATGTTGGTTTTGTTTCTCACAATTTTGTCAATACTTTCATTAGCTCTAATAGTTTCTTTGTGGATTAAGATTGTCTACAAACAAGATTATGCCATCTGTGAATGGAGACAGTTTTACTTCTTCCTTTCCAATTCAGATGCCATGTAAAATTTTTCTTCCCTAACTGCACTGACTAGAACCTCCAGTACACCATGTAACACAGAAGTACAAGTACAGACATCCTGCCTTTTTTCTGATGGTGGAGGGAAACCTTTCAGTCTTTCATCAGTAAGTACGCATTTAGCTGTAGATTTTTCAGATGCAGATGTTCTTGAGGAAGTTTCCTTCCATTCCTAGTTTTTTAAAGTTTTCATCATAAAATGCTGTTGGATTTTGTCAGATCTTTTTCTACATCAATTGAGATGGTCATGTAGTTCTTGTCTTTTGGTCTATTAATGTGGAGTATTACATTAATTGATTTCCATATATTTATCATGATGGGGAATTTTGTCAAATGTTTTGTCTACATCAGTTGAGATAATCATGTGGTTTCTTTCTTCATTCTGTTAATGTACTGTACTACATTGACTGATTTTCATATGTTGAACCATTCTTGCATCCATGAATAAATGCCACTTGGTCAGGGTGTATAACATTTTTAGTATGTTGCTGTGTTTGGGGGGCTATTATCTTGTTCTCAGCTATGATTTCTTCAAGTATTCTTTCTGCCCTTTCTCTCTCTTCTTTGGGACTCCTATAATGCATAGATTGATATGCTTGATAGCATCCTACAGTTCTCTCAGACTCTGGTCATATTTCTTTACTCCTTAATTTTTCCTGCTCCTTGAATTGGGTAATCTCAATTGACTTAAATGAAATTCACTGGTCTTGCTTCTGTCTGCTTAAATCTGCTTGCTGTTGAACCCCTATGATAAATTTTTCATTTTAGTTATGCTTTTCAATTCTGGAATTTCTATTTAGTTCCTTTTAATTATTTCTCCCTCTTTACTGATATTCTGTAATGGTGAGATACCATTATCATGGGTTCCTTTACCTCCTTGATCATATTTAAAATAGTTGATTTAAACTTTGTGTCTATTAATCCGAAGTCTAGGCTTCACAGGGGCAGCTTTTACTAATTTCTTTTCTTTTTATTTTTTGAGACAGGGTGTCTTTATGTTACCCAGGCTGGTCTCAAACTCCTGAGCTCAAGTGATCCTTCTGCCTTGGTCTCCCAAAGTGCTGGGACTACAGGTATAAGCTACCACACCCAGCCTAATTTCTTTTCTTTCCTATGTATGGGCCATATTTTCTTGTTTCTTTGCATGCCTTGTAATTTTTTGTTGAAAACTGGAAATTTTAAATATTATACTCTGACAACTCTAGAAATATAATTTTCTCTACTCCCTAGGATTTGTTGTTGCTGCTTTTGCAGTTGTTTGTTTAGTGACTTTTCTGAACCCATTTTATAAAATCTATATTATTTGTCATGTGTGACCAGTGACACGTGTGCTATTTTAGCCTTGTAGTCTGTTGGTGATTTGATAGAGATTTCCTTAAATACCTGGGACCAAAACCAAACAAAACACAAAAAGTAAAAACTATTTGCAAATGGGCTCTGTGTGGGTGCTAGGGCACACCTTCACATTCAGTCAAACAGTTTACAACTCTGCCTTAGCTTTCACCTCCTACTTGTGCAGAACATGAAGGTTAGGCAGACTTGAGAGCTTAGGACTTTCTCAAGTCTTTTCTGAACATGTCCCCAGCTCTGGCTGTGTGTGGGGCCTTGATTCCCAGAAATGTGTGGGAGCTTTTCAGAGTCTTTATTCCTCAAAGTATCTAATTCCCCAGACTTTGCTCACAAGTTTTCTGGTTTGTCTACTGTTCGTCCTTCCTGTTATCCCTTGCACCAGGCAGCAGCAGCTAATGCATTTGCCTTTAAATGTTTTTAACAAATGACCCAGAGTATAGTTATGTCAGTTCTGGGAGAGTTTTGAAGTTGAGGACTCTCTTCTTTCAGTAAGCTGAAATAAAGCAAGCCCTTTGAGCTAGTGCTTCAGGGAGCCAACAGACAGGTCAAAACAAACGACCACAGTTCCTTGAAAATAAGGTCCATTCAACTTCCTCTGGTACTAGAAACCTATCCCTGGAATGTACTCTGTTGTCTTCAAGACTGCCACTGAGCTAGGGAGTGAGGGATGGGGCCAGGAAAAATAAAACACTACAAAGCTTTCTTAGAGAGATTCGGGTGTTTTTTCCCCTTGATTAAGCATTCACTAGGTTACTGCAAACTTTTGATTAGTTTCCAGAGTTTTAATAAAGTTGATCCTTGGCCGGGCGCGGTGGCTCAAGCCTGTAATCCCAGCACTTTGGGAGGCCGAGATGGGCGGATCACGAGGTCAGGAGATCGAGACCATACTGGCTAATCCGGTGAAACCCCGTCTCTACTAAAAAATACAAAAAACTAGCCGGGCGAGGTGGCAGGCACCTATAGTCCCAGCTACTCGGGAGGCTGAGGCAGGAGAATGGCGTCAACCCGAGAGGCGGAGCTTGCAGTGAGCTGAGATCTGGCCACTGCACTCCAGCCTGGGCGACAGAGCGAGACTCCGTCTCAAAAAAAATAAAAAATAAAAAAATAAAATAAAGTTTATCCTGACAGTTTCTGCCAGTTTATTATTTTGGCATTCTTTAGTCTGCCATTTTTGCTCCACCTTGGGAAGGTCTTCTTAATAAGGATAACATATATACTGGGGGGAGAAGGTTCAGGAAATAACTCTAAATTTACATTATTCAGGAAGCATTCCTTGATAAACCCCAACTGGAACCATATTTTCACTCTTGGTATTTATTTAGTCAGCATTAGATTAGTATTTATTGATCTATTCCTTGTAAAGATTAAGTTGTCTTATGATTTTACATTTTGCCTTTTCAAAATATAAAAAGTTCAAAACTATAAAAAATGCTGCTAACATGGAAAAAAATAAACTTGATAGAGCTATGTTTTACTTATTTTTAATTCCCTTCTCATGGCTTCAAGTCCATTAACAACTAAAGTACTCAAGATTGAATGCTTCAAGTGAATGATTCAAATGAAAAAATTAAAACAGGTGCATAAGTATATTAGTATTTTAATACCCTTTTAACTATAAAGTATTATCACCATTCTCCATGAGCATTCTCCACTTTGAAAAGTACTTCTAGCATAATTTCTATTCAAAAGCATATATAGATTTACAATTTCAGAAGCAAAATACAGATGTTGGCAAACACTGAAATTTTTATTAAATATCTATAACATGCAAAAGGGAAATGACTAATGACTCCAAGTGTCTTAGGAACAGACAAAAGGAGATATAAAAATCATTTGTCTTGGTTTCCTTCAAAATAAATTTATTTTCCATATATTTCAAACTTACTCATTGTTCAATTCTAAAGCTTGATAGGCTGCTTTGATTCGAGCTGGAGGATTTCTTTCCCTCCAGGCCTTCTGCATAACTGTAGAAAAAATATGTCATAAAATGGATGAGATGGTAAACAAATAATCTGCAAAATGTATGAAGAATAAGCTAGTGGAGTAAACAAAGCTTTAAATAACATATTCTTAAACATACAAAACAAGAAACTAGGTTATTAGTTCACTTTATCCATACGAGAAATTTATATTAAATTTGGAAGCTTCACATAAAATAAAAATATATTCTTTCTCTGATTTATTTGAACAATATATAGGGTACTTAAACAAGTTAATTATATCATTATTATATATGAACATTTATATATCTAAATGCATGTTAACATTGAGTTTAAGTGACATCACATTATAATCAATATGAAATATTACAGTTCTACTTTTATCATTCTGAAAAGGTTTTATGGAACTGCAAAAAATAAAAATATACAAAAACTTAAAAACAAAGTCTTTGTCTAATGAATGATTCACTCTATGAAGAATGTATGGGATTGCATTTTGTGTAAAAGGGAAAAAAAAAATGAATGAATTAGAATATAGTACCGCTAGAAAATGTCAGCCTCTATCAGGATTCAACAAAGACCTGAGTTAGGATTTCTTTGGAATATTAATTTTGCTACCAATTTACTGTACCAAAATGAAGACTTCACAGTAAGTAAAGTTTTCTTTAATTAAATAAGCAAACAAATAAAGTAGACTCAGAAGACTAACTGGCCCATTTCAAGTTTGGTAAGAAAAATAGAGAACCTATGAGTGTTGCTTTTGGAACAAAACCTACAACTGTCCAGGAAGAATAATGTGAAAAATGTTTGAATTTTCCTTTGGAAATAAAATATTAGTCTTGGCTTAGCAAAGGAGTCAATATATTCCATTTGTATAACAAAAATACATTTCTTATATCAAACATGTCACTAGCTAGCTGACACCTAATGCTTCCTGAACTTGACAAACTGATGCAAGTCAGCACCCATTTGATACAGGCCAGTAAAAGAACATCATTCTGCTGCAACACTAAATATTACATTAAAATAATGCATAACGTTAGACTTGTAATTTTTGATGATAGGCTGTCTTCTACGAGTTATATGATATTTACAAGTCAAATTTTAACACTGAATTTGTATTAACATTTTAAACTGTTATTTGGTACTCTAGTATATTAAATACATATCCTAATTTATCTAGCCAATTCCCTTTTGATGGACAATTAAGTATACTAAATTTTTTGGTAATACAAAACATTGTGATAACAATCTTTCAGTATGTGTCTTTTCATAACTAATTAAATACTTCCTTTCTAGTAGAATAGCTGGCTAAAATATGTATATTTTAAAAGATTCTGGATATGTAATAAGTTTGGGAAGTTAAGAAAAAAAAAAAAAAGATTCCAGATATACACCTCTCAAACTCCGCAATAAGACTGTATTAATTTACACTTTTTCAGGCTGTATAACACAGTATAATCAATCTTTGCTAATTTAACAACTTAACACAGCATTACCAATCTTTGCTAATTTAATATCTGAAATTTATCTCATTTTCATTTGTGTTTTTTAAAATTTCTAGTGAGGTCGTCTAATTCACCTTTAAATATTTTATCTTATTCTTTTGTTTCCAAATTCTCTACCTAGCCTTTCAAGAGTATTCTTCAAAACCAAAGCAGTCCTAAGCCTAAGCGGAAAGGAGAAATAAAGTTGACGGGGGGAAAATGTATATATTTTTTTCTAAAATAAGGCTTAGGAGTAATTTAAAACAAAATGCTGATTTGGTATTCAATTGTCCTCTTTAAGGGCTCTTGATATGCTGAATATAATTAACATAAGCAATTAGCAACTCACTCAAATTTATCTATTTTTCAAGTTAAATAACATTCTAATATGCTAACAAGTACAAAACAGATCAGCAGTTATCGTAAGGTCAGGGGTCATAAATGTAAATGCCTATAAATGCCAGGCATTAAACATAAATGAGTGGACTGAAAGCATATTCACTGTCTAAAGGAGAGAGCCACAACTCAGTTTCATCTTATTACTGCCAAGTGTAAATTCAGGTTCAATTTTGCCCCATTTTTCAACCTTCAAAAGGCACAAATTCAGATTTTAATGTAAAATCTCCTGATTTTTAAATGCTGAAGAAAAAAATCCAAAAAACAATACTGGGCCCTTCTGGATATGTTTTTTCTCTGCCCTAGATAAATTAATAGAAGAAGAACAAAATCTAATTTAGTTATTACTGATGACAGTAAGTCAAGAGAAATTTGCCACATCACATATATACACATTTGTATTTTTGAAAATAAAACTACTGATATAAATCATGACCTTTATGTGAGGGTCTGAAAAGATTAATATGGAATCAACAGTCTGTTTCTGAAGATCATTCACAGACACACTCTGTCTGACTTGAGTTCAACCTTTAGCTGGGGTTAGACACACCTCTATAGAAGTACATAAAACTTAGAAAGGACCAAATGGGATACACGGTTTTAAGAAAATCAACTTCTAAAGCTTCAACTTGATTACTCTTTCCTATAACTGATCTACCAAAGAATGTTTCTCTGGTTTCCCTATCCTACCTAACCACAATTCCTATACCCGCTCCCCACGAAGATATGTTCCTTTCTCTTATTTTACAAAAAAAACACAAACACACAAAAGGCTTACTTCTTACTCATCCTGAATCTTACAAGGTGTACTGCCCTATAGTGTAAAAATCTCCAGGCACCAAAGGGACAATTCAAAGTTTGGGTTGGGGGCAGCCATGTTTAATCAAGGCATCCTATAATAGTATTCCTGCCTTTTATTTATTTAACAGTGAAGCTTGGCATTGGAAAGAAAGTATTCTGGCCCTGTATTCAGGTATATTACAGAATGAAGAAGGGAAAGATAACAATTTTTAACAGTTCCATTAGTACCCCTCCCTACTTACTATCAAAAAACGGATTCTCCTAAGGGAAGGTCCCCTCACATCAAGGCAAAGCAGGCATTAGCAAGGAGTAATAAATGCAGTGAAGCCTTATTTTGGCCAAGTGGTAAGTTCTAAGCAAAGTTCCAAGACACAGCTATCTTTCTATCTTAGAATCTGAATTCAGAAGATAGATAGTTGTCATGGGGAGGCATATTAATATGTTTATTTAAATTGAAAAGTGAAGTCAGACTTCTCTGTCAGAAAGTAAATATGATTTGGTTGATAGAACTGACAATGAGAACTCACCCAGTCAATTATATTATATACAGAACCTTCCACAAAGTTTAAAGAGCTAAATATGTAGCTCTAAGGATTTGACAGAAATATAATGAAAGCACATCATAACACTTAGCACCTTACAGTCAAATGCAATTCAAATTTTTAAAAATTATATTAGAATGTTTTATTATAGAAAAGGATGGAAGTGTGATACCAGACTCTACAGCATGAAACAATGGTGATAAAATTACATAGGGATGTAAAACAGATATGTGTTCAAGAAGAAAAAAGACAAAATTTACTACTGTTAAAGAGCATTTGGTAAGCCAGGTGCGGTGGCTCACGCCTGTAATCTCAGCACTTTGGAAGACCAAAGGGGGGTGGATCACCTGAGGTTGGGAGTTCAAGACCATCCTGACCAACATGGAGAAACCCCGTCTCTACTAAAAATACAAAATTAGCCAGGCACAGTGGCGCATGCCTGTAATCCCAGGTACTCAGGAGGATGAGGCAGGAGAATCGCTTCCACCCGGGAGGTGGAGGTTGTGGCGAGCCGAGATTGTGCCATTGCACTCCAGCCTAGGCAACAAAAGCGAAACTTGGTCTCCAAAAAAAAAAAAAAAAAAAAAAACACCAAAGAGAGAGAGAGAGAATTTGTTTACATATTGTTTTGTTTGTTTGGTTGTTTTTTTTTTTTTAGATAAAGGGTCTCTGTCCCTCAGGCTGCAGTGCAGGGGTGCCATCGTAGCTTACTGCAGCCTCAACCTTCTAGGCTTAAGAGATCCACCCACCTCAGCCTCTCAAGTAGCTGGGACTACAGGCATGCACCATCACACCTGATTAATTTTAAAATTTTTTTGTAGAGATGGGGTCTCACTGTGTTGCCCAGGCTGACAAACTCCTAGACTCACAGGATGCTCCTACCTTGGCCTCCCAAAGTGCTGGGATTACAGGCATGAGCCACTGTCCTTGGCCTATTCATGTATTTTTCAGTGGATTGTAGTGGGCATTAAATCATTTGATTTCATAACACATATTGAAATATAGGGTATACTATTATTTTTAAATGTCTGTATTTTGCACTATGTCAAAAATTACATTCTCTATGATTATTTAACCTTATGATGTCAACTTAAAAATGTGTGAAGGGACACATTCTTTTTCAAAATTCTTTTAGGAGATATTCAAATAAAAATGTTTTAATACCACAGCTTCAGTAGATAGCCATGATTGCTATTTTAAAAGCCGGCTGGTGTTTGCAATTCAGTGTCACTCTGTGAGAGGGGCTGTGAGAGAAAGGGTGGTGAGACCTAACTTCCAGAATCACTCAACCCTTAAAGTTAACATACAGCACTGATATTGTACTGCTGTTATTTCCCCAACACCTATCCTTTTGCCATTAATATAAACATTAAGCATATAAACATAAATCTATTCTTTTTACTCCTTTACCTGCAATTAAATCATTTTATATAACCATACCAAAGATCCTTGGCTTTCCTATCATCCACTCTTAACGTATTTAATCTAACAAAGATAAATCACTAGGAACTCATTTTAATGCAGGAAACTGGCTGTTTTTCAGACCCTTCAGTGATTTTTGTGGTAGGTAGAAGCAGTAATAGTGTAGTGGTTAACAGCCAGTCTTGAGTTTGAAACATGGTTTTATCATTATTAGCTGTGTGATTAAAGCCATATTACTTGATCCCCCTTTGCTTCGGTTCCTTTATTGTTAAAATGGGGCTCATAATACTACCTATCTCATAAAGTGACTGGGAAGATTACATTTCTATAAATTGCTCAGAATAGTGCCTGGAACATAGTAAGCCTAGACGAGTATTGGCTATTATTAGTGAAATTGCTTAAGACCTCTGTGACATCTAGGCTATTCAATCATTCATGCTTTTTTTTTTTTTTTTTGAGACAGAGTCTCACTATGTCGCCCAGGCTGGAGTGCAATGGCCCAATCTCGGCTCACTGCAAACTCCACCTCTGGGATTCAACTGATTCTCCCACCTCAGTCTCCCGAGTAGGTGGGATTACAGGCACCCACCATCATACCCACCTAATTTTTATATTTTTGTAGAGACGGGGTTTTACCATGTTGACCAGGCTGGTCTCGGACTCCTGACCTCAGGTGATCCACCCACCTTGGCCTCCCAAAGTGCTGGGATTAAAGGCGTGAGCCACCGTGCCCAGCCCATTCATACTTTCCTCAAAGAATAAATATTAATATTTACATTATGCCAGGCAATGTGCTGGATAATAGAGATTCAAAGATGAAGAGAATATAGTCCCTACTGTCCGAAAGTTCATACCCTAGTAGCAAAGACAAACATGAAAGCAATATAACATTAACAAATAAATGTTTGTGGCTGAATAAATTAAAGTTACTTCATAGAGGTTTGGACTAAGTAGTACAGAATTGCAGAAAACAAAATGTTTAATTCTGTGACAAGGGATCCCAGAGAGGGCTTTCTAGAAAATGTGACTTTTAATTTGGATAATGAAGGATAAAAAGTAACTCATCAGATGGATAAGGAGGGTGAGTTCATTCAAAGTAGAAGAAAAATTTTGATAAAGATCCCAGACCAGGGTATAGTGGCTCATGTCTGTAATCCTAATGTTTTGTAATGAGTTTGAGGTTACTTGGAGCTATCACTGCACCACTGCACTCCAGCCTGGACGACAGAGTGAAATCAATCAATCAACCAGCCCTGTCTTTTTTTTTTTTTTTTTTTGAGATGGAGTCTCGCTCTGTCACCCAGGCTGGAGTGCAGTGGCCAGATCTCAGCTCACTGCAAGCTCCGCCTCCCGGGTTTAGCCATTCTCCTGCCTCAGCCTCCCGAGTAGCTGGGACTACAGGCGCCCGCCACTTCGCCCGGCTAGTTTTTTGTATTTTTTAGTAGAGACGGGGTTTCACCGTGTTAGCCAGGATGGTCTCGATCTCCTGACCTCGTGATCCGCCCGTCTCGGCCTCCCAAAGTGCTGGGATTACAGGCTTGAGCCACCGCGCCCGGCCTGACCAGCCTTGTCTTTAAGCCATATAATTGAGTCTCAATACTCTCTTCTATAGATAAGCACTTGGAGAAAACTAAACACATAAATTTCTATGATCTTCTACCACTTTATATGCATCTCTAACTCACAACTAAAACAAAATATATTCTGGTTTTCTCTACATGCCATTCTCCAATGTTTATACATTGACCTGTTATTTTATTTTACGTATAATTGCAGGTGTTCATTTCCCAGACGGAAACAGGGTACACTGTTTTCTGGAAAAGTAGTTGTTGCATTTGATCTGAAAGGTTTTTGAAGTAGTAAAAGAAATATGAAATATTTTAAATTCTTTATAAGGAAAGCAGTGTATCAACCTAGCTTAGAGTCATAATTTAATCTGAGTTTCTTATCAATAATATAAACAACTCAAAGCCAAATAACTAAATAACTCTGTATATTATAATAAACAACTCTGAAGAACTTTTAAAATCATCTTCATGATCACTGTTTATACTATGAACAGATATGATACATACCTGTGTCTGAAGGACGTAAAAAATCTGTGTCACAGGTGAAAAAGGTCTGATGGTCCTGAGCTGACAGGTTCATGTCATAGTATGTAAGTGGCTCTTTACCAGTCACCCAAGTGTATCTTTACCAAAACACGACAAAATATTTAAATTGAACATGAGACAGCATCTATCTGCTATAACAAACACTACTTAAATTCAAAAATATACTGCTACACATTTGGATGTTTTAAAATCTTACAATCAGTAAAACAAAAGATAACCTCACAAACTACTTAGAGTATGATAATAAAACACCAAAGACCAAATAGAAAAATAATATTCAATAAACAACTGCTTTTGAAAATTGAATTGGGCTGGGTGCCGTGGCTCATGACTGTAATCTCAGTGCTTTGGGAGGCTGAGGCTGGTAAATCACTTGCGACCTGGAGTTTGAGACCAGCCTGGGCAACATAGTGAGGCCTGTCTCTACCAGCTACTGGGGAGGCTGAAGCTGAAGGATCACTTGAGCCCAAGAGCTCAAGACCAGCCTGAGCAATATAGCGAGATCTTGTCTCTATTTTTTAACTTAAAAAAAAAAAAAAAAAAGAAGACTCAGTAAAACGAAAATTAAGGATTGGGAATTGGGACATAAAATGAAGCCTGAAATGGAGCTAACATATGAAATGTATACCCAGAAGTTATACTTTTACATTAAGAGAAAATAATCATTCAAAAGAAGCATAAGAATTCCTGATACTAAGAAATTTATCCTAGGCCAGGCACAGTGGCTCACACCTTAATCCTTGGCACTTTGGGAGGCTGAGGCAGGAGGATCACTTGGGGTGAGGAGTTTGAGACCAGCCTGGCCAATATGGTAAAACCCTGTCTCTCCTAAAAATACAAAAATTAGCCGGATGTGGTATGGGCTGCCTGTGATCCCAGCTACTTGGGAGGGAAGCTGAGGCAGGAGAATCACTTGAACCCGGGAGGAGGAGATTGCACTGAACCAAGATCATGCCACTGCACTCCAGCCTGGGTGACAGAGAGAGACTCAGTCTCAAGAAAAAAAACTTTATATATATACACACACACATTTCTTTTTAAGATCTTCAGGAAATGGAAACTGTATAATACAACAAATAGCCTCAAACTTTGATTAAACACAGTAAGAGATTCAAGGACCTGTTTCTTACAGGTATCCCTTAATACAGGCTAATGGCATCTTTCATAAAAGCCTAGCTTTCACTTCACAGGATGTCACTATCTTACACTATCAAGTCCTTAAGCACAGGAGCCATTGCTTAGTCATTTTTGTATCTCCATCATTTTGCACAGTGCCTGTACATGGTAGAAACATAATGTTTCTTATTCAGTAAGTTAAATAACATGCCCCATTCTACTTTTAGGTAAAATACAGCACTCCTCAAAATAAAAGTAAAGTATCTTTGCTCATAAGTTTCAAAAGATGTTTTCTCATTTAGAGTTAAAAACCAGAAGAGAAATGGACACAGTAGTGAAAATAGGAAGTGGCAATATGAAATCAATATAAAAATATAGTACCCTCTACTGTTGCACAATTTACATTCAGAGTGATGTTTTCTGATGCATCCTCAAATTCTGAAATTTAGCAATCATGCACAGGAATATGACGACACTGGTAATTTTTTCTTAATGCCACAAATTCTTTGAAAAAGGCTTTTTATAAACCAGGGGCCTAATATATACTTATACATATATAATATATACTTATACATATCACAAATACTTATATGTATTATAAACCAGGAGCCTAATATATACTTATACATATCACAAACATATGGTTTGATGCAATGTTTCTTATGATTATCAAATTAAACACAGGTTATGTGTGGAAGTTCATGTTTGTAATTTCAATGATTTGCAAGGCCAAGGTAGGAGTATTACTTGAGCCCAGAAGTTTGGGATGAACCTGGGCAACATAGAAAGACCCCTGTCTACCAAAATTTTTTTTGAGATGGAGTTTTGTTCTTGTCACCTGGGCTGGAGTGCGATGGCGTCATCTCGGCTCACTGCAACTGTTGCCTCCTGGGTTCAAGTGATTCTCCTGCCTCGGCCTCCCAAAGTGCTGGGATTACAGGCGTGAGCCACCATACCCGGCCTCTACCAAAAATTTTAAAAAATTAGCTGGATGTGGGCTCTGCCTATGGAGTAGCCATTCTTTTATTCCTTTACTTTCTTAATAAACTTGTTTTCACTTAAAAAAAAAATTAGCTGGATGTGGTGGCATGTGCCTGTAGTCCCAACTACTTGGGAGACTGAGACAGGAGAACTGCTTGAGCCCAGGAGGTCAAGGCTGCAGCTAGCTATGATCGCGCTACTGCACTCCAGCCTGAGTGACAGAGGAAGACTCTATCTCCAAAAAAATTTAATTAAAAGAAAAAAGTAAACACAGTCAAGATGCTGCCAAATAAACTGTGGACTAATCATTTTTACCTTATTATAGATCAGTATCTCCTACTAGAAGAGCTGTGATATATTTATAAAGACAAATGATTTTCTAAATACCTTCACTCTAGAACCAATGCCCTACTTGTACTGAAAGCAAAATGTAATACCTCCTATATTCTGCTCCTCTGAAAAGATTTAGAGGGTTTCTCCATACCTTACATTCTGAAAAACAAAGGAGAAAAAGGGGGAAAAAGAGACACTTTAAAATCTTCACTTAACCAACATCTATTGTCTACCCACTGTAGGCTAAGCGCGGTGCTAGCCACAGATGATACAAAGATGAATAAAGCATGCTTTCAAAAAACAGAATTAAATCTAGTCATTTCCATATTTCTATCTCCATAGCATTTAGTTCATAATTCAATTATAGTACTTACCATATTACAATATGATTATCTGCTTGGTTTTGTTTCCTCTTTAAAATATGATGTCTTAAAACTTTGCTTATTTTTCTATTCCTATAACCAAGCACAGCCTCTGGAACTGACTTGCTTAACTGAATTAAACTTAGTACGAGAGTAGTCATGTAAATGGCCTGAAATACGATAACAGACATGTTTTGTTCTTTTTTTTGAGATGGAGTCTCGCTCTGTCACCCAGGCTAGAGTGCAGTGGTGCAATCTCGGCTCACTGCAAGCTCCATCTCTTGGGTTCATGTCATTCTCCTGCCTCAGCCTCCCAAGTAGCTAGCTGGGACTACAGGCGCTCGCCTGGCTAATTTTTTGTATTTTTCGTAGAGACAGGGTTTCACCATGTTAGCCAGGATGGTCTCAATCTCTTGATCTCGTGATCCGCCTGCCTCAGCCTCCCAAAGTACTGGGATTACAGGCGTGAGCCAGCGTGCCCGGCCAGACACATTTTGTTCTAAGAAAAAAAAAAAAGCATTAAATTTGTTTTGGGGAAATCAGGGAAGGCTTTAGAAAGGGGGTGACATTTGAACTGATGTTGAATCACTGTAAAAAATGAGAATAAGGTTGCAAAATGAAGAACATCTGAAGCAGAGGAAGTATCATAAAACCATACAGCATGGTTAGGCTAGAGTACAGGGTAAGGAGTGGGAGGGAGAACTGTAAATGGGGTTAGAAAACAGATTGGAAAAGGCCAGGCACAGTGGCTCACGTCTGTAATCCCAGCACTTTGGGAGAGTGAGGTGGGCAGATGACCTGAGGTCAGTAGTTCAAGACCAGCCTAGCCAACATAATGAAACCCCAGTTCTACTAAAAGTACAAAATTAGCTGGGCATGGTAGTGCCTGCCTCTAATCCCAGGTACTCAGGAGGCTGAGGCTGAGACTGAGACAGAAGAATTTCTTAAACCTGGGAGGTGGAGGTTGCAGTGGATGGAGATCGCACCATTGCACTCCAGCCTGGGTGACGAGAGCGAAACTCCATCTCAAAAAAAAAAATAAAAGAAAATAGACTGGAAGAAATTGATGAAGGACCGTATGTACTATAGAAAAGAGTTTAGATATTATTCTTGGTCATCAAAGGTTTATAAGCAGAAAAATAACAAATACCAGATCTTTGTTTAGATCAGCAGTTCTCAAAGTATAATTCATGGAACTGTAAAGTAACAATTCTTCAAAATAAATTCTAAGACATTATTTGCCTTTTTAAATGTGTTTACTTGAACTCGGATGCATGACCCTGAGAGTAAAGGTGTCCTTAAATTTTGTACCCCAGGCACCTGCCTCACTTGTCTTACTTGTCCTGCAAAATTGAACTGGTGATGAAAAGTCAACGATGGGTAAAACTGCTAGTACATTAGCATGAGTCAAGACAATGACACCAAACTGTACTAGCAGTCATTGGATTCTTCACTTCCACATCCTTACAGTAAAAATAAGGCAAATTTCTTTTAAACATTATAGCAGGTATGATAGTTGTCTCTAGTAAAGCAATTTGTGAGAACTGGCCCCTTTTGTAATGAAACACCACTTTTACTTGAAAGAGCCACACACAAACTTACAGTTATTTAGATGGGTACCTGGCAGATATTTTCTTTAAAATGAACTGAGTCTGTCAAGATCAAGGAAGAAAATGAAAGTATTTGCTGCCAGTGATAAAATTTGAGCTTTCAAGTACATATTGAAATTTTTTTAAATGTGTGTCTGCTACTGTGAGCCTGGCAAATTTCACAACAAAGACTTTTCTATGAGAATGGTGGTGATATTAACAAAGGAGTTTTTTCGTATTATGCAATAAAATGGATCATGATATGGATATGATATGCATAGCTCAGTGAACAAGTATTTTCCAAACAACCAATGTACGATATAAAATTATGCATAAAAGATCCATTCAAAATGTTAAGATATACCAATAGATTTTCACATAACAGAGCATGCAAAGTTCAGATTTTACACCACAACTAAACTTTCAGAAAAGTACTCATAGAAAGTTTTAGTGTAGTATCAAAAAAACGTATCCACAATTTTCTGAGAAGACTATTAAAATACTCCTCCCCTTTTCAGTTACACATCTGTGTGAAGCCAGGTTTTCTTCATACACTTCAATCGAACAGCATTTCACAATAGACAACAGAGAATAAGTTGTCTTCTATTAACTGAACTTTTTCTTGTTGTGGGAAATATAATTATTTTTCACAAAGTGTGTATTAGTTCAGGCTGCCATAACAAAATACCATTGACTGTGTGGCTTAACATAAATTTATTTTCTCAATAAATAAATTCTGGAGGCTAGAAGTTTGAGATCAGGGTACCTGCAGGGTGCCAGCACGGCTGAGTACTGGTGAGGCTGAATTCTTGCTGTGTTCTCACAAGAAAGAGAGAGCTCTGGTATCTCTTATTATTATAAGGCCTTCCTGTCTTATCAGATCAGGTTTCTACTCATAGTTTATCTTAATTACTACCTGAAGCCATATTTTCAATAGTCATATGGGGAATTAGGGGTTCAAACTTAGAAGGTGCAGGGTACAGTGAGCCGACATGGTGCCACTGCACTTCAGCCTGGGCAACAGAGCGAGACTCCATCTCAAAATAAGTAAGTAAAAATACATTAATTCTCCCCCAAAAGTCTTAACTCATTCCAGCATCAATTCTAAAATCTAAAGGCCAAAGTTTCTTCTGAATATTATCTGAATCAGACATAGGAGAGGCTCAAGGTACAATTCATTCTTAGACTCAGTTCCTCTCCAGAAGTGAACCTATGGAACCAGACAAGTTATACGTTCCCAATATATTGTATGATGGTGGGCAGACATAGGACAGACATTCCCATTCTCAAATGAAAAAAATCAAAAGGAAGGGGTAATAGTTACCAAGTCCAAAACCTAGCAACGCAAATTCTATTACATCTTAAAGTTTGAATGCCAGGCACAGTGGCACATGCCTGTAATCCCAGCTACTCAGGAGGCTGTGGCAGGAGGATCACTTGAGCCCAGGAGTTCAAGACCCCAGCCTGGGGAATATAGTGAGGCCTTGTCTCTCTTTAAAAAAAAAAAAAAAAAAAAAGGCCCAGGCAAGGTGGCTCACGCCTGTAATCCCAGCACTGTGGGAGGCCGAGGCAGGTGGATCACCTAAGGTCAGGTATTCAAGACCAGCCTGGCCAACATGGTGAAACTCCATCTCTACTAATAATAGAAAAAAATTAGCTGGGCGTGGTGGTGCATGCCTGTAATCCCCACTACTCGGAGGCTGAAGCAGGAGAATCACTTGAACCTAGGAGGCAGAGGTTGCAGTGAGTCAAGATCACGCCATTGCATTCCAGCCTGGGCAGCAAGAGTAAAACTCCGGCTCCAAAAAACAAACAAACAACAAAATAAGGCGGGCGCGGTAGCTCACACCTATAATTCCAGCACTTAGGGAGACCAAGGCGGGTGGATCAAGAGATGAGGAGTTCAAGACTAGCCTGGCCAAGATAGTGAAACCTCATTTCTATCAAAAACTCCAAAAAGATTATCTGGGTGCAGTGGCAGGTGCCTGTAATCCCAGCTACTTGGGAGGCTGAGGCAGGAGAATCACCTGAACCCAGGCAGTAGAGGTTGCAGTGAGCCGAGATTGTGCTCCAGCACTCCAGCCTGGGCGACAGAATGAGACTCCGTCTCAGAAAAAAAAAAAAAGAGGCCAGGTGCAGTGGCTCATGCCTGTAATCCCAGCACTTTTGGAGGCTGAAACAGGTAGATCACCTGAGGTTGGGAGTTCCAGACCAGCCTGACCAACATGGAGAAAACCCATCTCTACTAAAAATACAAAATTAGCCGGGTGTGGTGGCACACGCCTGTAATCCCAGCTACTCGGGAGGCTGAGGTAGGAGAATCACTTGAACCTGGGAGGCAGTGGTTTCAGTGAGTCAAGATCACGCCATTGCACTCCAGCCTGGGAAACAGAGCAAGACTCCATCTCAAAACAAAAACAAAAACAAAAACAAAAAAAGAGAGAAAAAGCGTGAGAATTATTTTTGATACTCTGCCCTCCAGGCCCACTGGGATGGCAGTGTCACCCCCATAGCTCTGTGGTACAGCCCCACCCATGCAGCTCTCTGTGAGGGTGGCCTGGCCCCAGAAACTGGAAAGGCAGCCTCACCCTTTGAAATCAAGGAGGAAATAGCCTTGCCCTCTGGGCCTGTACTAGGAGTGGCAGTCCTGGGTTTGGTCATTCTTCCTTTTATTTGAAGTCAGTACATGTTCACAATTGAATAGCTCTATGGTTTGGTCCTGTAGAATCCAAAAAGTCTAACGGCCTTCCTTCATTCTGTCCCACCTTCCCTGTCCCTTTTAGTTCAAACTGGTAGTGTGTTTGCTCGTATAAACTCAACTCTGTTTCTGGTTTCTACTAAGATGACTAAGTCCATGAAGTGCACACATGATATCAAATAGTTCTTCAACTACACCTCTACTGTTGTCTTCAGAACAAGTTTTCTCATGTATTTATAAGATGGATAGGCTGAGAATTTCCAAATCTTCAAGTTGTGCTTCCTTTTTGCTTAACAAGTGCTTCTTCTGTTCATCTCTTTCCTTTCACATTTCACTATAAGCGGTCAGAAGAAACCAAGTTGTGCCACTTTGCTTAGACGTCTCCTCAGCTAAATATCCAATGTCATTTCTCTGAAGTTCTACTCTCCCCAAAATGCTAGAATATAGTTCAGTCAGTTCTTTTCCACTTCATACAAGGACCACCTTTCCTCCAGTTCCCAACCACATATTCCTCATTTCCATTTGAGACCTCACCAAACTGTCCTTATCCATATTTCAAGCTTGCACCTCAAAACTCTTTTAGCCTCATTACCCAGCTCCAAAGCTGCTTCCACATATTTAGGTGTTTGTTACAGTGGCACCCCACTTCTTCATACCAAAATCTGAGTTAGTCAGCTCAGGTTGCCATAACAAAATATCATATGCTGAGTGGCTTAAACAACAGAAATTTATTTTCTCACAATGTGAAGGTTGGAAGTCCAAGATCAAGGTACCAGAATGGTTGGGCTCTGGTGAGGGCTCTCCTCCTGACCTTCAGAGAGCAGTCTTCTCACTGTGTCTTCGCATGGCAGAGAGACAGCAATCCCTCTCTTCCTCTTCGTACAAAGCCACCAATACTATCAGATTAGGATCCCCTCATTTAACCTTGATCATCTCCTAAAAATCCTAGCTCCTAATACAGTTACATTAGAGGTTAGTTTCAACATATGAATTCCGGGGGACACATTTCAGTCTACAACATGTTAACATGTAATGGATTTACTGCTATTAAAAAGTATTTTTAAATTTCCTGCTTTAATTTCTAATATGATAAATATTGATGGATATAATCCACATTTAAACACAGGCTCTTTGAGGTCCTGGATAATTTTTTTTTTTTTTGGAGACAGAGTCTCGCTCTGTCGCCCAGGCTGGAGTACAGTGGCACAATCTCAGCTCACTGCAAGCTCCGCCTCCCGGGTTCATGCCATTCTCTTGTCTCAGCCTCCTGAGTAGCTGGGACTACAGGTACCTGCCACCAAGCCCAGCTAATTTTTTGTATTTTTAGTAGAGATGGGGTTTTACCATGGTCTCGATCTCCTGACCTCATGATCTGCCTGCCTTGGCCTCCCAAAGTGTTGGGATTACAGGCATGAGCCACCACGCCAGGCCTGGATAATTTTTTAAGAATGTAAAGAATTCCTTAGTCTAAAAAGTTTGAGAACCACTTTTTCTTTTTACATAGTTAAAGAGAGAGGATGTACTAGAAGGGGAAGGGAAACCACTTAGGATACTACAGCAATAGCCCAGGGAAGAGATGTTTAAGGGCCTAGATATGGGGCTATGAATGTTGAAAGAAAAGACAGAATGGGCCGGGCCTGGTGGCTCATGCCTGTAATTCTAGCACTTTGGGAGGCCAAGGTGGATGAATCATCTGAGGTCAGGGGTTCGAGACCAGTCTGGCTGACAGTAGCGAAAACCCATTTCTACTAAAAATACAAAAATTACTCTGGCATGGTGGCAGGCACCTGTAATCCCAGCTACTCGGGAGGCTGGGGCAGGAGAATTGCTTGAACCCCGGAGGTGGAGGTTGCAGTGAGCCAAGATGACGCCATTGCACGCCAGCCTGGGCAAGAAGAATAAAACTTCATCTAAAAAAAAAAAAGAAGGCAGAATGGAGTCAAGATAATTTTTAAGGGGGAATTAATACAATTTGGGGTTGATTGGAGAAAACGGGAAACATAAATGATATAAACTAAAAAGAAACCCAAAGATTTCTAAAATGGGAATTGGACGCCATTAAAAGATTTTAGAATTACAGAGGAAGAACTATGGAAGAAGACAATTAGTTTCATTTTGGACAGAGTGAGTTCAGGGTGGTTAGGGCCATGAAAGTTGGAAAATTCTAGCAAAGAGTTAGAAATGCAGGTCTAGAGTTTAAAAGAGAGCTTGGGGGTAAAAATTTAAAATTGGTTCCCCCCAGCATATATGTCTGTGGTAGCTAATATTATTGAATAAGATGAAGTTATCCAGGGAGAAAAATATTGAACAAAAGGATGCTTTAATTCACTTAAAAAATTTTTTTCCCCCTTAGAGATAGGGTCTTGCTCTGTCACCCAGGCTGGAGTGCAGTGGCACAGTCATAGCTCACTGCAGTCTCAAACTCCTGGGCTCAAGTGATCCTCCTGCCTCAGCCTCCCAAGTAGCTGGAACTACATGTGCATATTACTGTGCCCAATTGATTTTTTTAATTTTTTGTAGAGATGGGGGTCTTGCTATGCTGCCCAGGCTGGTCTCAAACTCCTTGTCTCAAGTGATCTCCTTACCTCAGCCTCCTAAAGCACTGGAATTATAGGTTTGGGCCACTATGCCCAGCTTTTAACTCACTTTGAGATCCAACTCTAGTATTTCCTCTGCAAAATATTTTGTGGCCCTCCCTCCAAGAATAACTGACCACTCTTGTCACCATAGTATCTTGTATAAGATACCATGTATCTTTATAGGGTATCATATATAAGACACTCTATAAAAGCAGTTAACCATATTCTTTTACTGTCAATTTATTTATGTCTGTATCCTCTACCAAGATGAAATGTTCTTAAGGTTATCTTCACTCTCATTACTAATGGCATACTCAGTCTTACAATGGAAAATAAAATCACATCATGTGCTATTGTTATAATTGTTCATATATTGAACTCAGCTTCATGAGGACATATCTGTATCATAATCATCTTACTATGTCTTACTCTTAGGGGTTCTGTAACTATTTTACAAAAAAAAAAAGAAGAGGAAAGGAAATGACTCTTCCTTCTTGTACTCTTGAATGGCTGCCAACCCCACCCCACTATACCTGTCAGGCTTCAGGACTCCACTTAAATGGTGCTTCCTCAGGGACTTTCACCAAATCTAAAAAGTGCCACCAAGTGCACTCAGGCAGTATTTTTCTACTAAACTATCATAACTCTAGTGGTTAAGCTATTGAACAAATGAGATATTTGGAATATTATGGAATTAACACATCTGTATTATTACTATATAGTTATTACCTATCCCAGTGAAAGGAACAATAATCCAAAAGTATTCATTTTGGCCAGGCGCGGTGGCTCACACCTGTAATCCCAACACTTTGGGAGGCTGAGGTGGGAGGATCACTTGAGCCCAGGAGTTCGAGCCCAGCCTGGGCAACATAGTGAGACCTCATCTCTATTAAAATAATAACAATAATAATTTTATTTGGTTTTATAAATTTTTCCTTTCCTAATTATATATCATTAAAAATACTCGCTTTCTAGCTGGCCAGTCTCGGTGGCTCACGCCTGTAATCCTAGCACTTTGGGAAGCCACGGCAGGCAGATCACCTGAGGTCGGGAGTTCAAGACCAGCCTGGCCAACATGGTGAAACCCCATCTCTACTAAAAATACAAAAATTAGCTGGGTGCAGTGGCACATGCCTGTAATTTCAGCTACTTGGGAGGCTGAGGAAGCAGAATCGCTTGAACCCAGGAGGCAGAGGCTGCAGTGAGCTGAGATTGCACCACTGCACTCTAGCCTGGGCTACAGAGAGGCTGTATATCAAAAAAAAGGCTGGGTATGGTGGCTCCCGCCTGTAATCCCAGCACTTCAAGAGGCCAAGGTGGGTGGATCATGAGGTCAAGAGATTGAGACCATCCTGGCCAATATGGTGAAACCCCATCTCTACTAAAAATACAAAATATCAGCCAGGCGTGGTGGTGCATGCCTATAGTCCCAGCTACTCGGGAGGCTGAGGCAGGAGAATCGCTTGAACCTGGGAAGCAGAGGTTGCAGTGAGCTGAGATCGCGCCACTGCACTCCAGCCTGGCAACAGAGCAAGATTCTGTCTCTAAATTAATTAATTAATTAATTCACTAGTACTCGATACAAATAGAGGAACAGTCTACAGTAAAAGTATGACAATGGAATACCCATCCATGAAGAGCTGAGACTTTGATGCCTTTTTAGGTACATTGAAAAAAAATTTTTTTTCCTACTTTTCTCTCTTGGCAGAGATGGCTGTTTCTGTTCTCTCCTTTATTAGTCATAAGATTCCCTGATTTCCTGGGCACATATATATATACACTGAGAAAATGTTGAAAATTTCTAGCCTTCCTTATAGCTAGTAATGGCCATATGAAACAGATCTGACCAGAAGGAAGTAAGGGGAAATAGTATGTAACATTTCTGAGAACAGTCCTTGGCTTTTGTGGGGTGGAGTAGAGGGAAGAAGTGACCTTACCCTGGATTTCTTTCCTTCCTGCTGATTGGAATGTGGATATGATGGCTGAAGCAAGAGAAACAGTCTTACACTACAAAGTAAAAACTACATTTGGAGATGGCAGGCTAACAAAATAGAAGGGGTCTGGATATCTGATGCTTATTGTTTTCCATACTAGCCATGGACTGCCTATATTAACATAAAAGACAAATTTCTGTGTCTTGGTCCATTTGGACTGCTACAACAAAATATCACAAACTGGGTAGATTATAAAGAGCATAAATTTATTTTTCACAGTTCTGGAGGCTGGGAAGTCTATGACCAAGGTACCAGCAGATTTGGTGTCTGGTGAGGGTCTGCTTTCTGGTTTATAGATGGCGCCTTCTCATGGTGTCCTCACATGGTAGAAGTGGCAAGCAGCTCTCTGGGGTCTCTTCATAAGGGCATTAATCACATCCATGAGGACGCTGCCCTCATGACCTGATCACGTCCCAAAGACCCTACCTCGTAACATCACACTGGTGATTAGAATTTTGGGGGAAACACAAACATGCATACCACAGCACTCAGCTGTTCTGAGTTTTCTATCTCCCAGAGCCAAACTCAATCTTAAATACACAGCTCTGAAAACACATCAGAAAAGCAGTCACCTGACAAATTCTGTCTGCTGGTTTCACTTTCTCTGTTCCTCGAAGGAGACCCTGGTTCTGAAATGCTGCTCTCTGTTCCTCCCATCAGTGGTTGCAAATGGCTTACAGATACTTGCTCAATAAAAGATGTGCCATGCTTATGGAAGTACCACCATTCAAATACCTATGACAAACAGAAAATATCCTCCACTTAGAATTGATCAGCAGACACACGAGCTCAAATTAAAACATTCTCTCAAGATGTCCTGTTCAATTCAGCATTTTAAATGCACTCTCCTTTCAAAAAGAAAAAAACATACAAACACAAGATTCAACAATAACACGTCACGTAAAAGTGAAATACCTTTTTTATAGTTTTGTCATAAAATTTAGACAAGCTTAAGCAAAACTAGGCATATGTAATAAAGCATTAAAAAACAGTAAGAAGCATTTTAATCTATAAGTAATTTAACTATGTTAAGTTACATTGTCATTTTATTCTATCTGCAGCATAAACAGTTTTCAAATGATAAGCATAGTGGATGAACAGACTAGACTAGGATCAGCATGCCCATGTTTGACTCCCAAATCAGTCATTTATTAGCTGTGTGCTGTGGGCAAGTCACTTAATCTCTAACATCTCAGAGCCTCGGCTAAATGTGGTTAACAAGAATTATAAGAAAGTGCTTTCTGAAGCAAAAAGTACTACTCTGGTATTTGGCAAAATTATTAATAAAGGTTAAGAGTCAGGTTGATTCCCATTTTGAACCATTTAAAAGTCAGGATATTCATTTATTTCTGTTTCCATGGTTTATCACTGTTATAAAAAGAGAAACCAGGCCAGACACGGTGGCTCACATCTGTAATTCCAGCACTTTGGGAGGCCGAGAAGTCCCAAAAGAGGGATCCTCAAGAAGGATCGCTTGAGCCCAAGAATTCTAGACTAGCCTGGACAAAATAGTGAGACCTCATCTCTACAGAAAAATGTAAAAATAAAATATTAGCTGGGTGAGGTAGTGCATGCCTATAGTTCTAGCTACTCAGAAAGTTGAAGTGGGAGGATCTCTTGAGCCTTGGGAGGTCGAGGTTGCAGTAAGCTGAGACTGCACCACAGAACTCCAGTCTGGGCAATAGACTGAGACCCTATCTCAAAAGAAAGAAAAGAAACAAACAAAAAAAAGTCAACTGACAGACTAGTCTTCTGCCAAATGTAGTGGATACATGTATTACTTTAAAGAATAAACAAAACATATCCACAACTAAGAGATTTTAATCTTTTTATTTCCTATTGTTTTAAAAAAATTTTTGAGATAGGATCCCACTCTGTCACCAGGCTGGAGTGTAGTGGCATGATCACAGCTAACTGCAACCTTGACCTCCCTGGGCTCAGGTGATCATCCCACCTCAACATCCCAAGCAGCTAGGACTACAAGCATGTGCCACCATGCCCAGCTAATTTTTATATTTTTTGTAGAGACAAGGTGTCACCATGTTGTCCAGGCTGGTCTCAAACTCCTGGGCTCAAGCGCTCTGCCTTCCTCAGTCTCACAAAGTGTTAGGATTATAGATGTGAGCTACCATGACCAGCCAGATTATAATATTTTTGAAAACTATTTTACGACGACCACAAACAGAACACATCACAAAAAAATCAGCTTTTTCAACTCTGTAGGAATGCTATTTTTTTGCTTCAGTAAATAACAGAACAAATATGCTACATAGGTGCCAAAAGTATAGTCCACGTTGTGGCCCACTGACTACATGCCACAACGTTTACAGAAAAGTGTGAGAAAATCAAGGTGCAGCATTTTTTTCTATCATGTCACTAATGTTTTACGCTCAATCTAAAATGGCATCTCTTTCTGCTCACTCTTAATAAGTTAGCAAGAATTACCACCAAATGAGGCCATGGTTTGACTTCTACTATATATTTTACTAAGAAGTGAGATAAAACTTCTTTACATAAGCAGAAATTGTTCATGTGACAGAAAAGACAAGGTTTATATTGAATAAATCTTGATTAGGAAAATTGGATAGGGCCAGGCATGGTGGCTCACGCCTATAATCCCAACACTTTGGGAGGCCAAGGTGGGAGGATCACTTGAGGCTGGGAATTCAAGACTAACCTGGACAACATAGTGAGACCCCGTCTCTACAAAACATAAAAAAATGAGCCAGGTGTGAGGGTGTGTGCCTGCAGTCCCAGCTACTTGGGAGGCTAAAGTGGGAGGATCACTTGAGCTCAGCAGGTCGAGGCTGCAGTGAGCTGTGATTGTACCACTGCACTCCAGCCTGGGTGACAGAGTAAAACCCTGTTCAAAAAAAAAGAAAAGATAAATACAATCAAGGGCAACAACAACACACTTTCCTTCACTATACAAAGTGCAGGTGGGTTTTCTAATGAATGAGTATGAAGTTAGTGGCTTTTTCAACTTTTAAGTCAACTTTTTAACACACATGAACAATGATAATAATAACTGCAAATACTTATTGAAAGCTTTCTATGAGCCTCGCATTATGCCAAGTCCTTGACATGCATTATGTCATTTAATTTTTGTAACAACTGATTTTAGAGATGAGGACACATTCCAAATTTAAATAACAGTTCACACCACTGGTAAGTGGCAGAGCTAGGATTCTTCTTCAGGTTTGCCTGACTTTGGAGCTTCCAACCATTACACTAGACAGTTTCATAAATATATCTCTTTATATATGTATATGTGATTATATGTATATACGAGTTTGTTAAGTCCAGGTGGTAAAAGAAATTATAAACACAACAACCTTTGCTAATAAAAACCCATCAATATTGCAAGGGTAATAATACAGTTTAATCTTTAAAATGTTACTTGAATTTCCTAATTTGTGTATATTTAAAACACTGCTTTATAAAGAATAACAAAAGGTTTTGTTGGGTTTTTGTTGTTGTTGTTATTGAGACAAGGTCCACTCTGTTGCCCGGGCTAGAGTGCAGTGGCATGATCACAGCTCACTGCAGCCTTGATTTCCTGGGCTCAAGCAATCCTGCCACCTCAGTCTCTGAAGTAGCTGGGACTACAGGAATGCGCCAACACAATGTGCTAATTTTTAAATTTTGTACAGAGACCAGATCTTGTTCATTTGTCCAGGCTGGTCTTGAACTCCTGGGTACAAGCAATCCTCCTGCCTCAGGCTCCCAAAGTGTTGGTAGTACAGACACGAGACACCATACCTCGCCACAAAAAGTTTTTTACAAGGTTTTAGACATCATATATATAAGTAAGTTATCCCCCTCTTATAAATGAGGAAATTATAGCTTAGACTGTTTATGTAGCTTGCCCAAAATTATCAGCTAGTAAGTGGCAGAGTTAAGATTCAAAATTTTATCTTCTGTTCCCAAACCAGTGCTTTTTCCACTAAATCAGCTGTTTAATATTGGTAGTTTCTTTAAAACAAACAGACAAACAAAAAAACTATATTAAATAGAGACAGAGTCTTGTTGTTGCCCAGGCTGGTCTCAAATTTCTGGCATTAAGGGATTCTCCCACTCCATCCGCCCAAAGTGTTGGGATTACAGGTGTAAACCACTGTGCCTGGCTTAAAGATAGTTTATTATCTTTACTTAGACTTTTGTATGCTATGGACTAAATATGCTAAAATACGTTTATGTTAAATTATGAGGCTTATATTAACATGTAGTTTTAATCCTGAATTCCTCAATAGTTTCTATTTTTTAAGCCAAGAGAAAAATCTCGTTCTTGTTTGGCATTTCACCTCAACAAAATGGTCTGTATTAGTCCCTATTTAAAAAAATAGATCCAATACAAATGCTATTTCTACTACAGCTGGAGAGCACCACCTAGAGATAAAAAAAAAAGAACAGGCTGGGCATGGTGGTTCATGCCTGGGCTTAGCACTTTGGGAGGCCAAGGAGAGTGGATAGTTTGTGCCTAGGGGTCTGAGACCACCATGAACAACACAGTGAGACTCCGTCTCTACAAAAAATAAATAAAAATTTAAAGACAATAGAAAAATCTATTGGCTATGCATGGCATAAAACTTCTTAAGATTTTTATCTGCAGCAGTATTGTTCCAAAGTGTACACTAGGAAACATGACATCCTAGGGATGTTAATGTGAATTATAAAAAATATTTTAATTTTCTTAAAAATATCTTCTTCAAGGAAAAGTTGAATTAAAGTTAAACAGTTTTGTTGTTTTTGCTTTTGTTTTTTGAAACACAGTCTTGTTCTGTCACCCAGGTTAAAGTGCAGTGGCACCATCTTGGCTCACTGTAACCTCTCCCTCCAGGGTTCAAGTGATCCTCCCACCTTGGCCTCTCCAGTAGCTGGGACTATAGGTGCATGCTACACACGGCTAATTTTTGTATTTTTTTGAAAAGACAGGATTTTGCCATGTTTCCCAGGCTGGTCTTGAACTCCATCAGCCCACCTCGGTCTCCCAAAGTGCTAGAATTATAGGCATGAACCCCTATGTCAGGTCAAACAGGTTTCTTAACTGTGAGAATTCTCAGAATAATAATAGCCAAAATTCATTAAGTGTACACTCTGAACCAGCTACCATGTTATAAACTTACAACATTATCTGATTTAGTCTTCATAATCCTATAAAGTTCATGCTGTTATTAACCTCAGTTAACAGATGAGGAAATGGGCTTTAAAAATCTATAGGTTGAATTTATGACACATAATTTTAGTCTTTCCAGTGTTGCCAATATTAAAATACTGTAGTCAGACATGGTGGCACATGCCTGTAATCCCAGCTATTAGGGAGGCTGAGATGGGAGGACGGCTTGAGCCCAGGAATTAAGGCCACAGTGTGTTATAATGGTGCCTATGAATAGTGACTGCACTCTGGCCTGGGCAACGTAGTGAGACTCCATCTCAATTTTTTTTTTAATGGGCAAATTTTATATAAAAACTGTATATCCAGGTTCTATTTATTTATTTATTCATTCATTTTTGAGACAGGGTTTCTCTCTGTCATCCAGGTTGGAGTGCAGTGGCAAGATCTTGGTTCACTGCAACCTCCACCTCCTGAGTTCAAGAGATTCTTATGCCTCAGCCTCCCAAGTAGCTGGGACTACAGGCACGCACCACGATACTGTTACTTTTTATATTTTAGTAGACGGAGTTTCACCATGTTGGCCAGGCTGTTCATGAACTCCTGGCCTCAAGTGATCTGCCTGCTTCAGGCTCCCAAAGTGCTGGGATTATAGGCGTGAGCCACCACGCCTGGTCTATCTGGGTTCTCTTTAAATCATTTGAAAAATTGAAAAACCTGGTAATACTAGTTGCAAGTCTATATGGCAACAATTAGTTTTAGCCTCTTTAATTTTTTTATTTTTCATTTTTTTTGAGACGGAGTTTCACTTTTGTTGCCCAGGCTGGAGTGCAATGGCGCAATCTTGGCTCAATGCAACCTCCGTCTCCTGGGTTCAGGCGATTCTCCTGCCTCAGCCTCCTGAGTAGCTGGGACTACAGGCATGCACCACCACCCCGGCTAATTTTTTGCATTTTTAGTAGAGATGGGGTTTCTCCATGTTGGTCGGGCTGGTCTCGAACTCCCGGCCTCAGGTGATCCACCCGCCTTGGCCTCCCGAAGTGCTGGGATTACGGGCTTGAGCCACCGCGCCTGGCCTTAGCCTCTTTTAGAAGGGGCATGCACTGTCCAGGCTACCCAGTCCTCAAAGAAATAAGAATTTAATTATTAAACTCTACCCATTTCACTCATTTTTGTTACCAACTTGGGCTCTGCAGGCATTTAATTTCCAGTACACCCCAAGCCCTCCCTGACTATAGTTTACAATAAGCCTTTAATATGTAAATAAATACTGTCAATCTCTAAAAGTAGATTGGGAGATGCAGTGTTCCCCAAACTTGTTTGAATAGGTAATCTTTTCAAATGCTGAATACGTTTTAGAAATGCTGATCCATAGGTAATAATAATTTATAAATATTATAACCATATAAAGGATCTTTAGGCCAGGGTGGTGCCTGATGCCTGTAATCCCAGCACTTTCAGAGGCCAAGTCAGGCGGATCACTTGAGGTCAGGAGTTCGAGACCAGCCTGATCAATGTGGTAAAACACCGTCTCTACTAAAAATACAAAAATTATCCGAGCATGGTGGCTGGCACCTGTAATCCCAGCTACTCAGGAGGCTGAGACAGGAGAATTAGTTGAACCTGGGAGGTGGAGGTTGCATGAGCCGAGATCATGCCACTGTACTCTAGCCTGGGCGACAGAGCAAGACTCCGTCTCAAAAAAGGAAAAAAAAAAAAAAAATCTTTAGATAAATACCAAAACATGAAGGAAGGAAATGGAAACTACTTACAAATATTAGTCCTGATATCAATGAAGATGTCCCTGTAAGTGCCACATAGAATTTGGGTGTCAATGAATTTAAAAATACAGTCACTGTCAAAAGAACAAGAATCAAAGTTTTAAAAAATGCAAATTTAATGTACTTAGGTTACAAATATGCAAGTATCTTTATGAGTGGTGGGACTTAAGTCGTATTAATATCTAGTGTGAAATTCACTTGAAAAAGTTTTAATTTGTATTACATAATATACATAATGGCTTATAACTATTTGCAACAAATCAAAATGAGGTAATTCAGCTTGCTTTAAAGAATAAAACTAAAGCACTTATAAGTCATAACTTAGACAAGAACTTTTGCAAGTCTGTAAGAATAAGAAGATAAACAAACATGCTTTTACAAAGGAGGTTCAAAACGACTCCATAATTATTTTGGTAGGATACAAAACCACTGTCTCAAATTAGAGGGAAGGAAACAGTGTATGTATTTGGTATATCAGCTAGAGAGGCAAAATGGCTCAAAGAGAAAACCAACAAACAGAAATCTCCCTGACTTACTGAAATCCTGGTTGTTCACTTCAAATAATTATCTCATAAGTACGGTGGGTTTTAGAAAGAAATAAAAATCTGGCCAGGTAGGATGGCTCACTCCCATAATCTTAGAGTTTTGGGAAGCTAAAGCAGGAGGATCGCTGGTAGCCAGGAGTTCAAGACCAGCCTAGGCAAATAAAATAGACCCAGTCTCTATGTAAAATTTAAAACTCAGCTGGTCATGGTGGTGCACGCCTGTAGTTCCAGCTACTTGGAAGGCTGAGGCCAGAGGATCGCTTGAGCAAAAGAGTTCAAGGCTGTAGTGATCTTGCCACTGCACTCCAGCGTGGGTGACAGAGGGAGACTCTGTCTCACAAAAAATAAAAAAGAAAAAGTAAAAAAGCAAAATCTATAGTAATCAACTATTCTCATCTAAATGTATATGGTTAACATGTAGAAAAATAAATGACAAGTCGGCCGGGCGTGGTGGCTCACGCCTGTAATCCCACCACTTTGGGAGGCCGAGGCAGGCGGATCACGAGGTCAGGAGATGGAGACCATTCTGGCTAACACGGTGAAACCCCATCTCTACTAAAAACACACACACACAAAAATCAGCCAGGCGAGGTGGCGGCCGCCTGTAGTCCCAGCTACTTGAGAGGCTGAGGCAAGAGAATGGCATGAACCCGGGAAGCGGACCTTGCAGTGAGTCGAGATCCCGCCACTGCACTCCAGTCTGGGCGACAGAGCGAGACTCCGTCTCAAAAAAAAAAATAAATAAATAAATAAATGACAAGTCAATCAGTAACACTGTGCATAGAAACCGCCGTTAAGCACTTCATTCACCTGTTATAGCGATGCCAACTTAGCCCTTCAGTTTAGCTTATTTTAGTGTGCTAGTTATATTTGAACTTGATACCTTATCCTTCAAAAAAGCCAAAATATTTCTGAACTTTACCTCACAGTCTTTCATGTCATCTCTGAACAGGAAAGGGGACATGTGCTGCCTTCTGCTACAGAAAAATCAACCACTGTACTGAATCATATAACAGAAATACTTCTATCTTGTTCTGAGGTTGCTGCTCAGACCTTGAGTGAAATATAATCACATGGTAAGGGGACCTGGGCCCTAAACACTTTATCCTGTCTACAACTAAAGAATAGTACAGTATATGAGAATCCATCAGGATCATCACTTCTTACATGTGTTAGTATTTTCAGCACAGACTACATAGCAAGTGTTCTACAGATGTCGAAAGAACTAGCAAACCGACAGTTGTTTGTGGCGCTCTCTCACTTCCTGTACTACATTACTCAAGATAAGCCTAAAAGAACAGACAAAAATATCACGACAACTATTTCTTAACAGAACTATTTTAAAACAAGAGAATCGTCAATTAAAATCATGCCATTTTCTTTCTCTGAAATCTTTAAATTACAGATGTGCTCATCTTTGTTGCCTGGATATGAGTTCTCTCAGCTGGGCGGCGAGAGACTCAAAGCAGTGACTTTTACGGGATCCTACCAGAGGTGGGGGAGCCAATATAAATTACGTATCCTAATCTGAGAATGCACCCTTCTGTCCTAATACCTGAAGCTTATAGCTTGTCAGGTGGCTTTTCCACGGAAAAACGAGGACATAAGATAGAGGACGGACCTTAAGAGTTCTAGGGAGGAGCCAGTAGAGGCAGCAGGCTTGACAATCAACTGCAAGGTTGCAGTCCAAGAGAAAAAGAACCCACTCGATCGCTCATCATCGACTCCTCAGAGGCCCTCTAGGACTACCGAGAATCTCTTGCCCTTTGGCTCTTGCCCCCGACATCTCTCCTGGCCCCCCGCCCTGCCTCAGGAGGTCTGGTCCTCTCACCCGCTGCCAAATTCTCACACAGCCTCAAAGGGATCCTCAGAGCGTAAAGCAGCCCCAGCCCCGCCACGAACCACACCGAGGCCCCAGTCCCCGCCAGCCCGGCTCGCAGTCGCTCCCTCCAGCCCAGCGTCGGGTTTAGGCCGGGGACAGGTGCAGGAGACGCTCCAGCAGCCGCGGCTTCACCCGAGCAGCCACGGTCAGCCATCTTGCCGCTATCGCAGGAGCCAGGAGCTGGGAGGGGAGAAGGACAGGAAACCGGGAGTCGGGAATCCTGGGATAGTGGCGGACCTGAAGTTGGCCTCTCTGAAGGCTGAGTCCTGGGGAACCGGGACCGAGAAGATTTCGAAGGTGGAGGAGCGTGTCTCAAGATTGAGGATACCTATTCCTTCGTGGGGCAGGGAAGGGGCGGACAGCAGCGCCTGTTCTGGAGGAACTGGACTAAGATGTGACCCCAAAGTGAAGTGTTACCGCTTCCAAACGAAATGAGGGTCACCTTTCACACCCCCGCCCCCCGGGGTTGGAAAAGCCACCGATCGTTCCAGCGGCCGAGCAGCTCTTAGAGCTTTGGATTCGGCTGTCGTGGAGATAACGGGTACCAGAAAAACTGCAACAGCGACTTGGTCGGATGGAGGCCAGGAGCCAAGAATAATCGAAACACGCTGCCAGCACCCATTAGATGGATGGGAAATGAGTGTAACTCATTGGGAAAGATATTAGACTTTAAATCACCGAAGGCAAAGCCTACTTCCTGGGGCGCGGGCGCGGGCGCGGGCGCGGGCGCTGGCACTAGGAGACGTCACTCCCGCGCATAACTGACATGGCGCCCTCTTGGTCGGCGTTTCCGGGCGGGTCCTTCCGACGGCCCCCGCGGTGATTCCATCACTCGGCTTTCTTCCCGGCCTGCCTAGCGCCCACAGCCGGGCTGGGCCAGAACAGCCCAAGATGGCCGACTTCGATGATCGTGTGTCGGATGAGGAGAAGGTAAGGGGTCCGCCTCTCTCTCCTACCTCCTCCCCCGACAGGGAACTGGGGCTCGGCCCGGCTGCGTTGGGAGCCTCGCAGTGTCCCCAAGAAAAAGAAGCTTCTTTGTCCATGCTGACATACGCTCTCCGCAGTCGGGACGCTTCCCTCTTACGGGGCTTTCCTCTGCCTCACGGTGGCCCCAGTTCCTCGTTCCTCGACTCTCCTTTTCTCTCAGGCCTGAGGCACAGCCCAGGGGCCTCCCTGCGAGGGAACAGACGTTTCCTTTATTAGATCGTGACTGTGGACTTTTTTCCTGCAATTTTGAGAGGGGGTGGTGGTTATGTTGCGACATATCAAAAAGCAGTTATTTTACCGCCTTTAGCAGTTGGGGCTAACCCCCATCCCCCCATTTGTAGATATAATTGGGGTTAGTTTAGGGCGAGTCACTTCCTGGTCAGGATGGCCTCTTCCCTTTTGCTCCTCCTTCCTCAGGAAGTGATTTTGCTGTCACGACTCCTCGACAAGGAGAGGTCCCAAATGTTGTCCACCTCACTACACATGCAGTACTTTTCTCAAGTACTGTCGCCTGCCTGATCGCTATAATAAATCTGTGAGCCTCAGGGCATGTGCTTCACAATTTGAGCACCAGTCTTTCCCTGTAGACACACCCTTTTAACGATAATTTTTGAAAATTTTATTTCTTGTTAACAAATGTAGAATAGCTGATGGATTTTCTTAACCTCAAGAAAGATTTTCTGTAACAGATAATAAACCGCATGTTAACACGTTCAAGACTTGACAAAGCGTCCTGCCTTCTCTGGTGCTCCACTGTGGAGTCTTTGATTAGCTGAATTTGTCAGTGTGCAGTTTGTATACTTATTTCTTGAAAAGCGTCTTAAATACAAGAGCACATTCTAAGGTGGAATAACTTTTCTTCTGACAGTTGCACAGTTTCGTAACAGTTTTGTCAGGCTTTTCAGTAAGTACATGATTTTAGGGCACGTGGAACTTAGAATGACCTCACGAGACAACTTACTTACAAGAATTATGACATTTGTCTCCTGCTGTGGCTATTGAAAAATGTGTCCCCTTGAGTGCTCTGTAAATCTACTAGGGTGTTTTTTTTTTTTATAAGAAGTTGGGATGGGGAGGGGACTGTTATGATCCATAAGTCCTCTGCACCGAATAACTTGATACATCATACCTACATATGGCATGCCATTTTGAAATGCTTAACAAGCCATTGAACAACAGCATTAGATTTTCTCTTATTTGGAAACTGATCTTCATACATAAGATTTAGGACAAAAACAAAGACATATATGAGCTTATGCTGGAAATCAATCTATAATAAATTGTTCTAAGGCAAATAGTTACTATTCAAATAAAATTAAGCAAAAATCCTGTTATAGTACAAATCCTGTTACAACTAAACAAATAATGTGTTTTTTTTTTTTTTTTTTTTTTTTGAGACGGAGTCTCGCTGGGCTCACTGCAACTTCCGCCTCCCGAGTTCAAATGATTCTCCTGCCTCAGCTTCCCAAGTAGCTGGGATTACAGGCACCCGCCAACACGTCAAGCTAATTTTTGTATTTCTTGTAGAGGCTGAATTTCGTCTTGTTGCCCAGGCAGGTCTCAAACTCTTGGGCTCAAGTCCATCCGCCTCCGCCACTTAAGTGCTGGGTTTGCGGGCGTAAGCCACCGCGCCCGGTCAAAATTCCACAAGTAATTTAAATAATAAACTTTTAATAAGTTTATTGTGCCTACGTGATACACATTGACCAGTGTTGTTGGATTTTTGTCTTCGATACCAGGTTAGAATGCCTTTAATTAAACTTGGGAAAGTATATTTTTTAAAACGCCAATTAAGATGTCTTTAGATACTGGCAGTGTTTTAATAACATAAACGTGTTGGGTTTTTTTGTTTTGTTTTGTTTTGTTTTGAGTCGGAGTTTCGCTCTGTCACCCCGGGTGGTGTGCAGTGGTGCGATCTTCGCTGCAACCTCTGCCTCTCTGGTTCCAGCGATTCTCCTGCCTCAGCCTCTCGAGTAGCTAGGATTACAGGCGCCTACCACCACGCCTGGCTAATTTTTTGTATTGTTAGTAGAGACAGGGTTTCACTCTGTTGGCCAGGCTGGTCTCCAACTCCTGACCTCGTGATCTGCCCGCCTTGGCTTCCCAAAGTGCTGGGATAACAGGCGTGAGCCACTGCGCCCGGCCAGTCTTGGTTTTTTTAATAGCAGATCTGTGACCAATTTCGTCTTCTAGCATAGTTTTTTTGTTGCCAAATATATTTCAATATTGCTTTTTATCTTGGTTACATTTTCTAAAGGCAGTAAACCTTTAGAAAATTTGGTGATAATGAATGGACTCTAATTTCCTTATAAATATGTATGTAAAAGCTAGTAAAATCATCTATTCTCATAACTGCTGAAGTTTTTTTAATCACTTTGTAAAAAGGAAGTTGGGTTTTGTTACCTGAAATGGTCATAATGAGCTATCTAAATAAAACAGGAAGTTGAAAGTGTAGTAACTTTTAGAAATAAACGTTTTAGTTGTAGCTTTGAGTTCACAGTTTCTGAGAATGAACTTGAGCTCTTTAGTTACATGCTTAGCAAGACGAAGATACCACAATTAGGAAGCCTGAAATATGAGATGAATTACTTCTTTGGGTTCTTTTCATTGTCTGTTTTCTTTATTTCATTCAACATTTGTAAAACATGAAAGCAAAGATAATTTTCTGGAAAAAAGTGTGATTAGCATATTTTTTCCCTTTAGCCTAACTAGAAGAATCTTTGTGTACAATTTCAAAAGTATGGTAATTGAGAAGTTATGCTTTCAGTTTAGAATAATGCTTTCAGTTTAGACTAATGCTTTCAGTAATAAGGTGACGTTTTCAGTATTAAGAAAAACTACATGCTTTCAGTTTAGACAATGGTAGTGGTTTTAAGGCATTTTTGAGAATCAAGTTTATCAGAATTATTTAGTAGAGCTGTAGAAAATGCTGTAAATAGATGAAATATGAGGGCTCTGTTAGAACATATGAAAAATATTTATACTTTTTTTTGAAACAGTCTCGCACTGTCTCCCAGCAGGTTGGAGTGCAATGGCACGATCTCGGCTCACTGCAACCTCCACCTCCCAGGTTCAAACGATTCTCCTGCCTCAGCCTCCCAAGTAGCTGGGATTACAGGCACCTGCTACCACACCCGGCTAATTTTTTGTATTTTTAGTAGAGACAGGGTTTCAGTATGTTGGCCAGGCTGGTCTCAAACTCCTGACCTCGTTATCCGCCCTCCTCGGCCTCCCAAAGTGGTGAGATTACAGGCGTGAGCCACTGTACCCACCAAATATTTATGCTTTTAAACTGGATCCTTGATTATGTATTACCTCCATAATTTGCTAGTTACCATTGTAGGATAAAGCAAGCCCTAAAGATTGTTTGGTGTGGCTGTTTTCTAACGAGTCATCAATTAATATTAAAACTGTCATTCTTCCATCTTCACTTTTCAGTTAGCTTTGCTGAGAAGTATTCATATAATCTGTTAAGAAATCCTAGGACAGGCTGGGCTCGGTGGCTCACACCTGTAATACCAACACTCTGGGAGGCCAAGGTGCGCACATCACCTGAGATCAGGAGTTCGAGACCAGCCTGACCAACATGGAGAAACCCCGTCTTTACTAAAAATACAAAAATTAGCTGGGCACAGTCGCGCATGCCTGTAATCCCAGCTACTCGGGAGGCTGAGGCAGGAGAATTGCTGGAACCTGGGAAGCGGAGGTTGCAGTGAGCCGAGATGGCGCTATTGCACTCCAACCTGAGCAACAAGAGTGAAACTCTGTCTCAAAAAAAGAAAAGAAAAAGAAATCCTAGGACAGGAACATAAAGCCTAATAAGCAGGTGTAAACTCACATGTCCAGTCTTTTGTTAGTAGTATTGATTTATCATAATTTCTTCCAGAACACTTGGCTGTTTTATTATGACCGGGCTTAATGCTAAACAAAGTAGTGTAAATTTGTCAGAAAATTCAGATCCCAGGTTTTTCTGATTGTGTAGCCATGCTTTTTTCACTATACTGTTCTTTTCCATATAGCTATGAATGAAAAACCAGAGTAGAGGCTTCCATCTAATGGATTATAAATGAGGTAGTATGGGTCGGGTGTGATGGCTCACGTTTGTAATCCCAAACTTTGGGAGGCCAAGGCTGTCGGATCATCTGAGGTCAGGAGTTCGAGACCAGCCTGACCAACATGGTGAAACCCCGTCTCTACTAAAAATACAAAATTAGCTGGGCATGGTGGCACGCCAGCTACTCAGGAGGCTGAGGCAGGAGAATAGCTTGAACCCGGGAGGCGGAGGTTGCAGTGAGCCGAGATCATGCCATTGCATTCCAGCCTGGGCAACAGAGCAAAACTCCATCTGAAAAAAAAAAGGGGGGGGGCAGGGGAAGTATTATGATGTAATGGAAAAGAGTGATTGTGAGTGTTAGATTTGGCCTTTCCCTGTCGTGCTTCTAGTCACCTTGTGACTGATTTTGGAAACATCACTTAACCTCTATGGGTGGGCCTCAATTTCCATCTAAAATAGAGAAGTAGGGGGGAATTGGATCAAACCAGCCCAAGAAAATTTAATTAACTATTTCAAACTCTAATGAAAAATCTCTATTTTAAAAATTGAAACACTAAAATGTTCCAGAAGGTTCTATTCATTGTCTGCTTTCCTACATTTGCCCTGGTAAGAAGACTGAGTTCTTTGATGACTGAAAGCATGTGTCTTTATCTAGTGCCTAGCATAGTGCCAAGCACACAGTGTAGGCACCGCCTATTGGTATGAAAGAGAAAACAACTTCATTAATTCTCATATCTCCCCAGTTCACACCCCTTCCTCTCCTATAAAACAACCCTTCCCCCACAATTATTTCTGTTAGTCTCTAGGTGTTTCTTGTGGTCAAGAGTACGTCCACAGTTTGGGTGCCTCTGTGCATTCCTTGTATCTGAGCATCTACTGACATCATTGGTGCTCTGCTATGCCACTGCTGGGAACATTTGACCCCTCTAGGAGCATCTTCCTAATAGATCCCATAAACTGCAAAGCCTTATGGTTACCAAAATGATGGTGTGTATATATACACTGGAGCCTTGCAAAGCCCCTAATGAAAGTATTTCCTTCACCAGCTGGAAGTACTCTCCTTTAGCGAGCAGATTAAAACACACACCTGGTGTGTGTTTTAAAGAAAAAGGACCGAAGAGGGAAAAAGTTTCCAAGGCATGAATGAATTAAGAGTGACAGATGCTACTGAGATAGAAAGATGAGGACAGAGAAAACAGCACTCACTCTGACAGTATTCTTTCCAACTGGATTTGGTAAATAAGAGTGAGAGGTACCTCGAGTGAGCAGTGGGAGAAGTCATACTGGAAGGGGTAAGCAGTTATTGACATAAGAAAGTAAAATAAATTCAGGTTCATCCAGACACCCCCCTAATCTTGCCTTGACCCAGAAACATTGTGGTCACGGGGCTTTCAGCCTCCCATTCCCATAAGAAAGTTTCCTAATTATGATATCTTGGTCTTGCCAAGCATTTAGAGGGCCTTCCTCTGTGGCCCTCCAGATAGTGATTTGAATTAAGTAAAGCTCTTTTTAGGTAAGTGTTCTAGTCCAGTCTGAAATCAGCTTGTTGGTCTTTTTGGCACTGTCATTGCCCAGTACCAGCACGTTCTTGGCTCCTTGCCACATCTCTGGCCACAATGTGGGAGGCAAAGGCAGTGAGCATTTCCAGAGTGGTGAGATGAGGCGAGGTCCACACAGCATCTCTGAACAGCATGTCCACACAGGGCTCAGAGTCATCATGCTGCATGTCCACCTCATGTCCACAGTATCTGAGCAGTTGAGATTGGTGGAGTGGACCTTCTAGTTACTCATCACCTAGAGGAAGGTCCTCATCAACTCCACTTCTCAAAGGGGTGGAATTGAACCTGAACCTGCTTGACAGATGAGAACCCAAGCCTAGCCAAGGTGGCTGCCATGGTGACCCTCGTCCTGAAAGCCATTTTCATTAATTTAAAAATTGTAGGTATATAGGAACTATAATAAC